TAACTGAAATATAATAAAAATAAAAACAGAAATCTAAAAGTTATTCTAAAGAAAAGCTAGTAGCACTTAGGGTTGGGTATCGAGAATCGAGTATCGATTGGAACCGGGACTAACTTTTCATTTTTCCCGGAATCGTTCAAAAGTTAAAATTTCGATTCCTAGTTTCGATATTCACAGTCCGCCGAGCGGAAGAAGAAACCACTGAACAACACCAAAGAAGAAGCGTCTACCGGAAGTGTTGGCAAAAACGCGTGAGTCGAACATGAGTAGCTTACGTCGGTGGTCCAAAGTGTGGCTTCACTTTTCTAAAAATAACAAAATCTCGGCAAAATGCAAAATTTGTGACAAAAGGAGTATTTCCTTCAAAAAGGATTATTTCCTTCAGAAAGACCATTGGTTAGCAAGGTTAGCTAAACTTTTTTGACCCCGCCTCTTAAAAGAATCGCAATCGAGAATCGTTAGGAACCGGAATCGGAATCAGAATCGTTCAAATTCAAACGATACCCAACCCTAGTAGCACTTTACAATAAGGTCTCATTTGTTAACATACAATGAGCTATATATTTGTTGCAGTAATTATTCATCTTTGTTAACATTAGTTAATAAAAATACAACTGTTCAGTGTTTGTACTTGTTAGGTTCACAGTGCATTAACTGTTAGTAAATACAACATTTTATATTTAACAATGTATTAGTAAATGTCGAAATTAACATTAACCAAGGTCAATAAATGCTGTAGAAGTATTGTTCATTGTTAGTTCATGTTAATTTATGTAAACAAAGGAAACCTTATAGTAAAGTGATACCGAAAAGCTTTTTTTCTGTTGTTGGACCAATCTATCCAGATTTTTTGATTTGTGCAATTTTAAATTTCACTGCATTACTAGTCGTGACTTACCTTCTAATTTGACGCTCTTTGGCATCACCTCGAAACGTACAACTCTGTAATTGTGTTCCACATCCTCCTCCACCTTTTCTTTGTGGTAGTACAGGATGAATGACAGATGGTTGTGCAAATAGAACTGCAGAAGGGAACCAATCATGAAAAAGAACAAATAATGACATCACCAAAAACAATACGATTTTTTTTTTTTAAAGAAACCCACAGCCATTTGTATTTATATTAAGTTGATAGACACAGTTTTCTGTTATTGAAAGCAATGTTAATAAATAAAATATGATAAGTGGTTGAGGTAACAAAACTAATTTCTTACTGTAGTGTCAACAAATTTAAACTGGGATAACATTGAGCTAGTGGGAAAGGATGCCCTTCACGTTTACCTTGTTATTTTCAGAAAAGCCGAGCCTGTAGCCATGCTCGAACTGAATATCCTTCAATGTGTCCTTCTTCTGTTCTTCTTCCGTTCCCTCCTCTTTGTTGGGATAAAGCTCCAGCCGTGTGGCCACAGGGAGGTTATCTGCAATGCTGTTCATATGCATGACCTGTTAATCAAACTACTACTGACAGTTTTAACTTTACAGGATAGGTGAAATATGCATACATTAGAATATACAGCATAAAACATATTTATTTATATTCAAAAGCTTGGTGTATATAAGCTTTTTAATGCTTTTGATAGAAGTATCTTATGCTCACCAAGGCTGCATTTATTTGATCAAAAGTGAAATATTGAGAAATATTATTACAATATAAAATAGCCATTTTCTATTTTAACCTAGTGCAAAATCTAATTTATTCCTATGATGTAAAAGCTGAATTTTCAGCATCATTACATTCCTTCAGAAATCATTCAAATATATGTTAATATATTGATTTGCAGCTCAATAAACATTTCTAAATATTATTTATGTTGAAAACAGTTGTTCTGATTAATCTCTTTGGAGACCTTGATAGATTTTTTTTCATGATTCTTCAATGAATACAATGTTAAAGTATTTACTGTAATTTTCAATTAATTTAATGCCAAATAAAAGTATTAACTTCTTTTAAAAAAAAAAAAAAAAATTTTGAATGGTAGTGTATATATTTGTTTTTTTAAATTACATTGTTCATGCCAATCACACTGGTTTAAAATAAACGTATTGCACTTTTGAAAAGTGCAAATTTTACTTTTGAAAAGTAAAAAAAAATAATTCAGCACTTTGTATTGGGCTTCTTTCAAGGAACATGAGCAGAAATAAAATGTGTAAACTGATGCATTGCAAGAGACTAAGAAAAATGGCGTCAAGAGAGGAAGGACTCACAGGTGGATATAGTACTCTTCTTGGATGCGCTCGGCTAGCAGCTTGCTCTCCTCCACGGTGAGTTTGATGGGATCATCTGGCTTTTTACACAACACTTCACATTTCTTGTCCAGGTTCATGAGAACCGTGTAGAGTGTGTTTACAATACGGTCCCCTCGCAACACCTCACCTGGTCACATATCATCATCATCAAAATGAGAAGCATGCCACACAGTAACTAATAAGTCAACCTTCTAACTGCAAGGCGTGGGTTTTCTATCACCTAGCTACACTTAAAAAACGTCAGATGTGTGACTGCAGTGAAACTTCAACTTACCGAGGTTCTCTGCCTTGTAGACGATGTTATCAGGCTTACAGAAAGGAAGTGAATAGTACTCATAGGGCAGCTGGGTTCTGGAGCTTGTCAATTTCACAGCCTGGTAATTAAAAATAGGTATTTGTTAGGAACACCAAAGCACAAATCTAGAAACCTTTGGAGAAGGAATCTGTGGAATGAAGGATAATGTTTGTGCCAAACACAGATTCATGGATCTCTAGATTGATTAGAGATGGGCAGCTAGTCTGAGGAAAACAGGTGGTCAATACAAGAGTAAATGGCTCTAAAACCAGCAAATGTCTAGGGTCATAGAGTAAAAACAGCAATGAACAGGAACAATAATGTCGGAGTAAAAAAGTGTCGGAGTTTTTTGCAACTCAAATAGGAAAAAAGAAAGAAAAAGAGGCCTCACCTTTATTTCAACAGGGCTGTTTTGTTGGAAATTCATGGGCGCAACCCCTGGTACATAAAAGGGTGTTACTAAAGGCAGCGTGGACACCAGTAACAGTGTCCACATCTCCTACAAACACAAAAAAGACACACAAAGTCAAATATCTTTAGTTACCTATCTTTAACCTTGTTGCAGTGAAAAACAGAACACTGACAGTCAACTTGTTTACATAAAAATATACATCCACATGGAACCGTAACTAGGGTCAGTCAGTGCAGTGCTGAAAAAGAAAATCCATATTATTGAGCCCTGTTGTTCAATCAGATAATGAATGATCCATAAACCACCTCAACAGTTAAACAAGGTGAATCTGAAACAACCTCTAAACAATATTAATACGAACAGTCCAACTTTTACCCAAATAAGCAATTTGAGGTTGTTATTATCTATTACACAGTTAAAGTCCTCAAAATTAATTGGCCGAGCATTGTTTTAACAGATAAAGTGAGCTATGTGGAGTGGACACGTAGTGGAGTTTGCCATATTAAATGCATAGCCTACAAGTTGGTGTTTTATTGCGTGCTTTTCAGTAAAACATTTTCAAAAAAAAAGTAAAAACTGTGTGTGGGGACTACTATCAGATTTTGAGATGTGGTCACTGCAGATGTGATCGTAAGAAAGGGGCGGGGTTTAAGCAGACTTGATGATTGGAGAAGTCCTGCTTGCGTCACTAGAGAGTAGTTCGCAGTTTCACTGAGTCTAGTTATTACACTCGGACTAACCATTACCAATACCAGGTCAAAAAGAGTCGTTCACATTATGACTTACGAGCAAATAGACACACTCAAACATCATCTTATCACAAAAGGAGTACAATTTACAATCAAAATTAATGACCCAATTGGTGCCCATTTAATAATTGGTAAGTTGTCGTGTAATAAGCAGTATAATGTGCCGTATTGTTTTGCGTCCTGAATAAAATGGCGGAGTTATTTTACGATGGTGACCCATTATTTCTTACAATAATACAGTAATAGATAAATTCACACATGAATCTTCTTGTTAAGTTGAAACTCCAGTTAACTGTCCACAAGTGTCAAAGTACACAATCACAGTGTCATCCGGCAAGAGTAAAACATTAATATATTCTGGAGAACATTAAGATAACAACTCTGATTTAATCATTTTATCATCATCATCATCATCATCATCACATTTGCTTTGATTGCGATAGGCAGTGAATGCTAAAGCAGCGCAAACGCATTAGCCTGACTGGCAGACTCCATCGTGTGAAGCTGTTTACCATGAAACACAGTCGCGTATGTTCGATTAAAGAGATATGTCTGCTTCATATGGCTTAGGTGTTAGATTGGATGGGGACATTAACTCTCACTCTTCACAAACACTCGATAATTAGCTGCCTGCTAAGTGTTTAGGCTAGCCGGCTACTTCTCAATCGGCATCCACTGAGCGAAAATTGTAAATCATATCATAAGGCACACTCACAAGAAGCAACATAAAACAAAGTGGTTTAAAGCAAGTCATCTCTATCCGTGTAGAATTAACATTTGTGTGCATTACAGCAACAGAAAAGACTTTAGCATTGGTACTCACCATCGCCGCCGCCATCTTGAATACACGTGTCATTGCGGACGTCACAGGCAGGATGTCAATGCGTCATCATGCTGCTGTCAATCATTCTCAAAGCTTACAAGGAAATTGACATTACAAGTTTCAGGTTTTTAAAATGTTATTTCCTATTACGAAGTATTTATATATATATATATATATATATATATATATATATATATATCTGTATATTTACCCATGATTTAATTTTCTTATTTTGTTATCAGGCCCGGATCTGGGCCGACACTATTCTGCTGTCTGGGTCACTTTTTCTTTTCATGAATGGTCTTTAATTCTTTTTCATTAGTAATACAATAAGCAAGCAATGGTAATTAATGCATCTTCGTAAGTTTCTCCCCCCAGTAACAATAGGCCTATATGCCTAAGCAAAATGTACGTTTTTGTAAGTCAGCAACATAGGCTATAAGGAGTAAATTAGATTTTCCCTCTATGCCAGACTCAAAATTAAATACATTTATTTGTTTTGTGGACTAATTGTATTTGTAACAACATACAAAAATAGCAACAGGATCATTTTGCTCCTTTTTATGGGGAACTCTGCAGAAGCCATTACATCAGGGTAAAGTATATTGAAAATCATCTGCATAATCAGCATCATTTTTATTTTATTTTTATACAAATGAGATTAATGTTAATGAAGCAACAAATGAGGTGCCTCAATCCGCTTGCAGGAAAACCGAATGAAATAAAAGACTGTTACATTTCCTATTCTATTATTGCACAAAAGTTCAAACAAATATCAACAAAACCAAAGACGTGAAAGCAAGACACATATCAAACATTAAATTGAATAGCTTCAAGCTTGTAAAAGTACCAAAGCAACCTAAAAATCTCAAAAACCAAGCATAATTTACAAATGCATACAATCACAATACACAAAGACCTTTAATACAAGTTCAAACTGTACTTTTTAAATCAGGGCTAAAGAGATATTCATAACTACCTTAAGCATAGATGTTTTTCTAAAATGTTTGGAGCAATGATTCAAAATCGATTCAATATCCTTTTGCTGGACAAATATATTTCTATACATTTAATAATCCAGAATAACTTATTTGAAACCTAATGTAGGTTGAAGTTTTAGAATTAATCTTCTCATAAACAATCAAAACTACAATATATTTGAATGCCCTTAATGTGTATTCTCAATGGCAATACGCATAAACAAATAGTTTTAAAATACATCAGACATAAGGTTTTTACAAATAAATCAGAAAAATGGTTTTATATTAAAATAATAACTTCATATAGCTTTTGTTGTGCAACACGCAGAGTAAGGCAAAGGGCTCTGCGTGATAGGAATAAAACTGCAATGAGATTTTGAAATTATATTAATTTACATGTCATTTAAATAACAGACAATAACATTTCACATATGTATAAAGTCAACGGGTTGGGAGGGATATGATATATATGTCTACATTTCTTTGAAAGCTCCTGATATGAGGGATTTATGCAAGATGTCATGACAAAGTGTGTGTGTGTGTGTGTGTCTCAAGGCTGTTGCTGATACTGGCTCTCAGTGGCCGTGTAAAAGTCCTCCAGTACACTCTGCAGGTACTCAAAGGTGGGCCTGTCCTCCGGCTTGTTCTTCCAGCACTCCAGCATGATGTCGTAGAGCTCCTGAGGGCAGGAGTCCAGACGCTGCATACGGTATCCTCTCTCCAGAGCACGGATCACCTCTGGATTTGTCATACCTGAACACCGTAAACAGGTAGAAAAAGGAGTTTGCTAAGTTTCTAGCATCTGCTGTTACCAGAAAGTTAGTTTTGGTTCTGGGTTTTCCCCAGTAAATAATACTCTTAAAATGATTATTTATGCAATTTCAAGGAATTAGACTTTCTCACTTCAAGACCTTAGCCAACTAATATTATGTCATCAGCGTCTTATGTCACTGAAGCGGATTGACAACAGAACCGGAAGAGAATACAATGTTAAATAAAGTCGTAGTTTTTGTTATTTTTGGACAAAAATGTATTTTTGATGCTTTGAAACATTGTAACTAACCCACCGATGTCATATGGGCAACTTTGATGATGTCTTTATTTCCTTTCTGGACAAGGACAGTTTACCGTACACACATTTTCAATGGAGGGACATACAACTCTCAGACTAAATCTAAAATATCTTAAATTGTGTTCCGAAGATGAACCGAGCTCTTACGGGCTTGGAACGACATGAGGGGGTGAGTCATTAATGACATCATTTTCATTTTTGGGTGAACTAACCCCTTTAAGCGTACTTATGTTTGAAACAGGTGGTCATTAATAGGTTACTTCTTCAAATATAATGACAGTAAAATCAAACTTTTAGAATTAGTTTGAAAAGTTACTGTAAACGTTGGACAGAACTTTTCTTATTCTATATATTCCAAATGTAGTGATGATGACAGGGGACATGCAGATTAGATAATATTCCATTATTTCCATAAAAAACAAATAATATTCCATAAAAAAAACAAAGATTTAAAAATACACTGAAAAGTGAAATTCATTAAATATACTACTGTATGCTCAAATGTTTGTGGTCAGAATATTTCATTTTTGAAAGAAATAAATACTTTTATTTAGCATGGGTGACAGTAAATATTTGTATATTGTTAAAAAAATTATTTATATATATATATATATATATATATATATATATATATATATATTTAAAGTAAATGCTGTTTGTTTGAACTTTCTATCCATAAAATAAAATAATTGTGCAGATGGTATTGTAAAGTGAGTGTGTTTCACTCAAATAAAGGTCAATAAACAGTTATATGAACTCAATTGATTACATTAAGCAGAATTTAAACAGATTTAGTTGCTAGAATTTGCTAATTAAATGCAAGAGATGTGCGTAAGATGATGTCTAATTAATGTTTTCTTTACTAAGTTATGTTTTATCGATTTTGTAAGTTAAGTCACAATTTTGAGCAGTTTAATTTAATGTCAAAAATGCGAATCTGACTTTTGTGGAAAGTATAGTATATTTTATAATTCTAAATGATTTAAGACATTCGGTTTCCTCAAATTATTTGAGTCGAGTTAACTTGAGTTTGTCAATGTAAAATCAATAAAATAAAAGTTCAGGATCCTGTTAACTGTATAAATAGTAATAATAGAGACACAAAAAGAAGGCACGAATGGCACCATTACCGGAAAATGAAGCTTTTAGCATATTCACTGTGCACTGAGGTGTCCACTAACCTGGGTACGGTGTGCGACCATAGCTGTTGATTTCAGTGAGCAGAATACCAAAGGACCACACATCTGATTTAATGGTGAAGGAACCATAGTTTATGGCCTCCGGAGCGGTCCACTTTATAGGGAACTTAGCACCTTAGGTTAAAACAAAAACAAAATATTAACACAACTTCTGCTGACAATAACCTATATTATAAAATTTACCAACTTATATTAAATCTATTTCTCTGTTGGTCAGACTAACCTTCTCTCGCAGTGTATTCGTTGTCCTCTATGATACGGGCCAGTCCAAAATCAGCGATTTTACACACTAAACTCTTGTTGACCAGGATGTTGGCAGCACGAAGGTCTCTGTGAATGTAGTTTCTCTGCTCAATGTAAGCCATGCCTTCTGCTATCTAAAGTCAGGAAAAAGATCCAGGTTTTAGCTACTTTTAATGTGTATGTACTGAGTTTGTGTAACAGAGATCAAGAGAACATAGATTGGTCAGCAACAGGTGGTACAATAAATATGAGTGTGTGTGTGCGCGTGTATGTGTGCGTGTGTGGTCCTGGTAAACCCATGTTGCGTGGACCAAATGTCATCACAAGGATAGTAATACCAGAAATATTTGACCTAGTGGGGATATTTTAGGTCCCAATGGGGAAAACAGCTTATTAATTATACGGAATGAAGATTTTTGAAAATGTCAAAATGCAGAAAGTTTTGTTTGTAGGTTTAGGGGATAGAATATACAATTTATAAAGTGTAAAAACTATGTCTGTGGAAAGTCCCCATAAAATATGGAAAACAGTATTATGTGTGTGTGTGTGTGTGTCCTCTTATCGGTCAGTTCAGATTCACATCAGTCTTGTTAAGTGCTTGCAATTCGCTTCCTCTTTCCAACCTAGCGTCGCACCCTTTTTTTGCAAACATTACACTTGCTTGAATGAAACATGACTATTCTTATGTCGTGCTTCCTCAACCCCAATATTTCTTATAAATCTTTTAGTATAATTTTCTTATTACCTGATTCTGAATATATATTTGACTGTTTTAAAGAATCACTTGCACAATAGAGAGAACAAACAGATATTAGCTTGGATTATCAGTGACAAAGAGAAAAGGGAATAGATTGTCATGTTAATGACCGTCCACCCTCTCTCACTCGCACACCCCTGTACACAAATATTACTGTCTGTCGGTTATCAAATTTGAATATTGAAATCTAGTAGGACAAACCTGTTCTCCATGACAAGGGAACATGTGATACTATATGGGGGAGGAAAGCACGTTGACTGAGCAAATGAGACCTTTAAAGCGTCTCACCTGAGCTGAGAAGTCAATCAGCTTGGGCAACTGGACACGATTCCCTTCATCGCTTTTAATAAAGTCCAGTAAACTGCCTGAAAAACACATACACACAAACAGATACATAATAAAGATATGTAAGGCTATGCAATATGCATTTCACACTGAAGTGGCTAAAGTCACACACACACACACACACCTTTCTCCATGAACTCTGTAATGATGTATATGGGCTCTTCTTTGGTGACCACAGCGTTGAGACGGACCAGTTTGTCGTGCTGGAGGGATTTCATTAAGTTGGCCTCCATGAGGAAAGCTTCCACAGACATACTGCCAGGCTTCATAGTCTTCACTGCCACTTTTGTGTGCTTGTTGTATGTTGCTGAGAAGCAAACAGAGACGGGTTTCACTACTAGTATTCTTCATTTTCACTTATTAGTGTTTGATACCTGCTCAAAGTCTGACAGGACCCTGTGTCAGGGTTTCAGATAAAGTTTAAAAAAAATAGGTGCAGCTTTGGGTTTGTGTTTTTTCTGAGGCTTGTAATAAATGAAAAAATAATTTGTTACTGTCTTTGTATTCGGTATTCATTTATAGAATACTTGAATTTTAAGGCAACACCAAGGAACTTTTCCTCTGCGGTCGCCCTACAGGTTAGAAGCGGAATTGTCCTCATTAGAACTACAGAAACGCAACCCGATCTGGCAATCTTTCAAAGCGTGGATATACTAGATAAAGGAGCGCAAAGCGTTGGCATAAGTGCATTTCACCACTCCACAACTTGATGAACCACTGAAACGATTTTGGAAACATTATTTGAAGGTAAAAAAGAAATCTTCTTAATCCATGTCCTGTTAATAAAGCAATAAGACATGATTGTTTAATGTTTTATTTATAATCTATTTCCAAAATATATTAATATATAAATAAATGTGATCAAACATGATAAGACATCAATTTTGTATTTATTTATAATACATATTGAACATAAATTAATAAATATAACATATACTAATATACTAATGTATTTTTATTTATGTATAATACATTATAAAAAGTTAACATATATTAATAAATAATTCATCAAAATGACACCAATGTGTTTTAATTACTTATATATGAAATATTAATCATATCTTAAATATTAGAGTAAATATGAATAAAGACACCAATGGAACATCTTCAGGTGCATTTGAAAAATGTGTACAATATAAAATGGATATATTAAAATAATATAGGTAATGTTTATATGTACAGAGTATTTATTAAAATCTAGTATTAACATATTTTAAATAATAATTATATTAATGTTTTGTAATGAACAATTCCTTCACCAAGTAATATAGTTCATTACATAACGTACATAGTGTAGCAATGTATGAAGTAAGTCACTTTCAAACCAAGCAACTTTCTGTTGGTCAATCTGGAAATTCACTTTACCAACTTGAACATGATGCGAAATATGTGTGGGGAATTTATCAGCAAACGACATTCCTAAAATCATAGTTTTCACGTTTCACGTCACAGTCGTCACATACGTCACACAGGGCAAAACTAGGCTTTCCTCAATTACCCTCCAATCATTTTTGCCAGGTTGGTATTAAGGACCAATCAGGTAAAACGGTGAAATTGGAGACGGGGTTTAGCGTACACCTCGTTAATGATGTGTGCCATAGACCAGCAGGCGGATGAACCCACAATATAAATGCAACAAGCGTTTGTCCATAGAAACCCATTATAAAGAAAACAACCATTTAGCAAGTTGCGTTCATATTCTGGGCTCCATCTGCTCGCATGTAGTGTGTATCGCTATGAGGTGTGTACCGAGTTTGATCTTTTATAGTCACTGTTTTAGTACATTAAAGCACTTTAAAGTGTTTTTAATAGTTGTTTTCAGTGATTGAAATACTGCAGCAGGTGCTGTATATAAATCTCAAGTCCCCAAAACGTGCATTTTGTTCAAACATTTGAGTTTTTCTTCTTTTTTGAGAGGGGATCTATCTAAATATGTGTGGCTTAAAACGTTGTGTGGATGTTTTGCCCTCCAGGGTATTCACGCCGATCATGTGACTGAAAACTATTAATTGCATGGATTCCTATTGAAATTACTGTAGTCCGCCCACGAAATGTCACTGAATAATGGAAAATATGACTGTACATTAACTGTATTAATATAGAATGTGAGTCCTAACCATCCATTTTATTGCTGTATTTTACCCCTGGTCAAACCTAAAAAAGCTATCAGACCCTTCTAAACAACCCACACTGCACGACATCATTTGTCAGGGTAGACAGACACATAAGACACATGTAACAGCAAGCTGTATGCGTCTTACCCAACCAGACTTCACCAAACTGGCCGGCTCCCAGACGTTTATCCAGTTTCAGGGACTCGCGTGGGATCTCCCAGGCATCTTTCTCCCAAGGTTTCTGAGGTTTGGGACTCAGACAGGGAGTGGTGAGACATTGGCACAGCCCATCGCTCTGCTCTGTAGATGTAAATGTTAAATGTAAACCAATTGAGAGAACAATCCTTCAAGAAAAAGGTTGATAAAATGATCACCTATTACAAAAAATAAAAAATGATGTCTATAATCCAATGAAATGTGATATATGAATGTTACAGTAGCCCACATCTTTGCATTTCGAACTTACTCTTGTAGTGGGCAACCAGATCCTGCAGGGTGTTGAAGGTGATGCGTGGGGAGATATAGAAACCGCCATTATCCAGTGTGCGGATCTTATAATGCTTGCAGGCGTCTCCAGATTGAGGGTCGCAGTCTTTGACAGACAGAGAGTAGCTTCCTGAGAGGAAGAGGTACATGTGTTTTTAAGAGCAGATAAAAGCAGGGTGGATCAGCAGCTGAAGTAAAAATGTTACCGATATAAGAAAACAACACTGCTAACGCTTCAAGATTACAGCTTTAACACTCTGGATGTACCTTGGGTGGTCTCACTGTCTCTGATCATAAAGGATCCTGTCTTGTTTCCAGAGGCCAGCAACTGTCTCTCTGCATCCTTTCTGCTGACACCTTTAAAAAACCACCTGAAGACACAGAAGTCACCAAACAGAAGTGACAAACATATGGAGAGATTGATTACAGTGGCCAGAAGTAAAAAAAAAAAAAAAAAAAGACAAATCATTTCCTCAGCCACTGTATTACACACATGCTATTACGAGTGGTAAACACCCACGCAGCTGCGATACCTTGTTTTCTGAAATGCCATGCCAAAGTAATGTAACCCAGTGTGCCATTAGTATACTTCTTTTAAACTAAAAATAAGAAAGTATACTTTCAGTTTATTTTTCCTGTACTTCTCAGAAGTATACTTCAAATTACACTTAAGTGTACTTGATTTATACTGAGAGAAAAGCAAGTATATTTTTCATGTTCTTGTACTCAATCTTTTGATCCAGAAATACTTAAAAGTATAATTAAGTATTCAAAGTATACTTGTATAAGTATTACAGCAAAAAAGTAAACTACTAGTATACCCATAAATTCACTTGCAGTACACATGAGATACATTATTATGAACTAGTTGTGCACTTACTGTTACACTTATAGTACACTTAAACATATACTTTTATGTACTAAAAGTGGGCCAATTTAGTCACAAGCGGTATTAAAATAGTACGCTTACAAGTTTACTACTAGTACATAGTGACATTAGTATACTTACTTACTACATAATGTATACTTAAAAATATACTTGAACATTACTTAATTATACTACATAAAATGAACTTGAAATATACTTCTTTTTCATAAGGGAACACAAGTTTCCTTTTTTGTTAAATGAAAGGATCCACACTGTGAAATATTTTCACTACATAAAATGGCTGTTTTCTGTTTTAATATATTTTAAGATGTACTTTATTCCTTTAAAGGGTCATGAAACCCCAAACCAAATTTTCTAAGATTTTAACAGAGGTATGTGTGTTAAACACCATTGAAGACAATGTTAGCATCTGTTAGATTTAATAGTAGGGTTAAAAAGGTTCAATTTGAGGGTTTTTTCCCCCGCTTTTTTAGTCTTCTGGGTTTAAAATCTTCATCGTGTCCACGTCATAAGCTGTGACGTAGCCGTGCACTGTGAGTGCTTGTTGACTCATTGGTGTCTCATAATTATTCAGAAGACTGAGTTTTCATTTCCAATAAGAAGACACTGTCCACCACGTGAATATTTACAAAGACGGACATGTAAAACTAAGAGAGGCAGTCATGGGACACTAGTGTTTGTTTTCATGGTGCAAAAGTCCAAGTGCGTTGAATATGTTTCCATGTGATGCTGACAGGGCTAGACTCCGGGAGACTCCACAGACACATCTAAACAGTCCATGATCTAAACTATAATGTGTGCCGCAAGCATTTTCGAAGTGGAGAATGGTGGACTTCGTCTTGTTGACAACCAATTCAAGTTGCGTCTTGCGAGTGACGCGGTATCCAGAGGACTTTTCTATCCATTCAGATGTGTGTATGTGTGTTTGTGTGTCTAAAATGAGAAGTCCTACACCTCCACAGAGCCATCTTTATTATGGGGGTTCAGGGGGCGCGTAGATCTAGGCTATGCACGGAACGATTTTTTAAGCGGAAAATTAATCATTTTCAAATGCATTTATAGTGTCTATATATTTTAAAATTACATTATAATTATACATGTAGCCTACATTAATATGTTTTAAATAGAATTATGATTACTGTAGGCTAATATATGTAGCAGGGCATTCAAGGGAGATATTTCACTTTGAAATTAATTTTTGATATGTTTTAGTTTACCTCAAGGGCATCCAAGATGTAGGCGTCTTTGTTTCCACAGTATTTTCATTTTTATATGGGGTCATCCTCAAAGAGCATGCACAGAGAAGTCCAAATTAAACATGATTTAATAATGACTTGTAAATGTAAGTACACATTGGTGGCAACCGCGCAAGAGATCACTTTCGGCGCTTTCCGGCGCTTTCCCATGCCTTCAGATCACTTGGACATGGCTGTGGCTTTTACAAGACGTAAAAACGATATAAATACAGTTCGTTTTCTCACACAAACCGCTCGTTTCGTGTCTTAGGCCATCAGTGTGTACTTACATTTACGAGTCATTGAATCATGTTTAATTTGGATCTCACTGTGCATGCTCTTTGAGGTGGATCCCATATACCTCCATTATATGACTGACCGACAAAAAATATCAAAATTGAAAATACTGTGGAAACAAAGACACCTACATCTTGGAATCCCGCCTTGAGGTAAGCTAAAACATATCAAAAAATTATTTCAAAGTGAACTATCCCTTTGAGTTACTTTTGAAAGGAAAATAATAAAGTGTCAGTGTATTTCGGTAATATCTCGGTCTTATCATTGACCATAAATTAACTTGGGATCAATGTGCTGATGCTGTTTTTAAAAAGGGCCAACAAAGGTTATATTTTCTAAGGAAACTTAATTATTTTAATGTTGATAACAAAATTCTGACTCTTTTTTATAAATCTTTTATTGAAAGTATTCTCTCTTACTGCATAGTATGCTGGTACGGACATTCAAAAACTACCCACAGGAATAAATTGGGGAAGATTGTTAAAACCTCTGGAAAAATCATAGGTAAACAACAGGCAGACCTGTACAAACTATATCTGACCAGATTGGTACAGAAGGCAGACAAGGTTTGTAGGGATACAACCCATCCACTTTCATCTGAGTTCAAGCTGCTCCCTTCTGGTCGTAGATATAGATATCCGAAAGTTAGAACAAATCGAGCAAAAAACTCATTTATTCCGATGGCAATAACCCAATCAAATAAGGCGGGGGGAGGGGTATGATTGGAGAATACATGTGAAGTAATGTGAAGTGGTTTTATTTTGTATTTTTACCTATTTATTTATGACATTGTGTATGTGGAAATGTTTGTGTTGTGGATTATGTGTGAGTATGTGTCAATATGCCTGTATTGCACAACAAATTGCCTTTCGAAGTTCTAAGTCTAAGTCTAAGTTCATAAGACTTTAACTTTGCCAGATATACACAAAAATCTAGCATTTCCTCACGTTTTACCACTGCTTTTTAGTGACAGTCGATATGCATGGGACATTGGCGATGATGGCCATACCACACCCACTCCCCTCCCTTCTTTTCACAGCTATCCACGCCCGTTTAAGTTGCACTTTTCAAAAAGATTGTGAGCTAGACTTGAGCTGAAAGTGCGGGGTTTCATGACTCTTTAATGACAAAGCATCATTACTTATGTCTTCAGTGTCACATGATCACAGAAATCATTATCATATTATATATATCAATTCTCACAACTTTACAGTGAGATCAATGGGACTACTACGAATGTACACAAACTATATTTACTCACTCTTCAGTTTCCAGAGTATCTTTGGCAACATAGTTACTGGGGATGAAGCCCTCTTGACCACTGCTGAGAGACGCTGCTTTCCACCACTCACCTGACCTAAACACAACAGACAGTTCTTCAATCAATCAAAGCGGCGAGATATTCAATCAGATCAGAATCAGAGTCCTACTTACTCCAGAAGGATTCTGAGTCTGTCTCCTTTCTTGAAGCCCAGGTCACCCTCATGCATTGCTTCATAGTCATACAGAGCTATGGCAATGTTCTCAGAAGCTAAAGACAAATGGAATATTCAGCGTGAAAGAGCTGTGATCACACATTCACAACAATTCTGCTCTTCACACTCTTTTTTTAAAATTATTTTTATACCAAGCAGTGAGCCTCATTAGGTTAACCGTAGTAGGAGTGTATTTTTTAACAATTATTTTCTAATGTTGTGCTAATCTTACTTTCTGAATGAAATCTCATAACAATGTTCTCAAAGATACTTTCACTTACTTTCTGTTCCAGGATTCCCTGGTTTGGGAGGCAATCTGCTCTGTAGATGGAAAAATAGAGGTGCAGCATTTAAGACACCAAACTAGACATTTCAGTTCTCTTTTCTGTGTAAAAACAGACTAAGTTTTACTCTTTCCAAACAGAGGATGTGTGTTCAAACAAATAAACACTTCAAACTCTTTTTATGGTTGATATGCAAATCAGGTAGAAGCAGGTGGAAACCATCCAAGTGCAGAGCGGCATGATAACTGATGCATATTTAAACATATAACCACTAAATATAGGCTATAGCCGGTTAACCATCACATATTTTAAGAATTCATTTGAAATATTCTATTTCATTCATAAAGCTTAAACACTTCAAATTCAACCATTTTGCATTGCGATACAATGGAAAGTATTTTAAAAAGCTTTTAGCAGGCTTAATTTCTGATATCAATTTCAAGTTTGGAGCACAACTTGGTTAGACATTTTAGGGTCCAAATCATATGTCAAAATATGTATTTTGTATGAAATACAAAAAGTTTATTGCAGTACATTTGCTTTACAGTAAACTGCTTTCACTTCTGCACAAATCTGCTGAAGTTTAAGTTTAAGATTCTTTAAAAAGAGACCAACCGTTGGTCCGTATTCCAAAGCATTCATGAATTACAACCATTTAAGTTCAGATCTGTGCTCAAAAAGGGGGGTTGCGATAAAAAAAGGCATATTATGCAAAGTCAAGATGATATTGTTAAGCTGTACTTTAAAGATATGTTCACTCTGCTCTGAGAAAGTGGAAGTGCACTATGGAAAAGCACAAAATATGCTGAAACAACCGTTACTCACCAGTAATAGCTCACCTCAGCATTTTTTTCAGTAAAGTCATGCTCAGGAATTACCCGAAAATATGTATTTTAATATAACCGAAAACTCCACAATGCTTCTACTTACATCCTTCCCAGTCGTGGGGTCTTTGGAATAATGTGTCGTCAGGTTGCGGTTGTCATCATTGCCCATCGATTTGCCAATAGGATCCGGGTCCGGTTTGGTCCCCACACAGCCCATGTTGAGGCCTAAAGAGTTCACCACACAGGACACTAATGCAGGTTATTCTTGAACATGTAAAAACAACACAGCCATTCAGAAAGAGAAAACAATATGCAAATCATGAGCTGTTCCATCCAAAACAACGCCCGTTTTTGTTGCTAAAAAAGCATCTATGGTAGAGATTGTGATGGGAAAGTGTCTGTAATGTGCAATACAAGGCTTATTTTGTATTAAACATATAGCTAACAAGCAAAGTGGTAAGTGGTGAGATGATTAGATTAGAATTTCCAATGCTAAATGGAAATCATTTGTCATAATCATCATAAGCAATCATACAGTAAGTAGATTGTAGAGACCATCCCTGTCGCTACAATCTACTTAAGCTTAAGATTATTTTGGGAAATGCAGCCATGACCGATAAAGTAGTGAAAGTCGGAATAAAAGTCAGTTTCTCACACTGACTTCCACGTTGTAGGCTGCAGTTCTCACTCGCCTGTGGTTTTGTCATTAACTCGCTTACACACGCACATGCGGAAGCTGCTCAGTGGAAACTGTGGTTGGTTAAGGCCTAATGTTCAAAGCTGATTTAAATCAGCTAGCCTTAACACCCCAACATATTTTTGAGTAGCAGAACTTACAAATGAGAAATTTAACCAAACAAAACCCACAGAACTGCCTCCATCACAAACAGATTTCCAGCTGGGTTCATAGTTGGAAGAAAAAAGCAACTTTTAAATGTGAGGTGAACGGAAAGCGCACGTTTCTGAGCTCTTCAGCCTCTTTATTTTCGAGTCAAACAGCAGCAGCAATGTGCTGTTCTAGTGATGTCGGTTTATGTCCTTTCCGGTTTGATGATTAACTCATTACACCTTATGCAGGACACACATGACCTTCCACAAAACCACAACCAAAACACCATATTTCATATTAATGGCCAGTCTGTTTGTCCTGACGTTAAGCAGGATAAAGACGTAAATAGATGTTATTTGAGGGTCATTGTAGCTGAGTTCTGTCAAACACTGAATTGTAATTCATGAACAGCCTAGTAAAGTTGCGTCCTCCATTAGACGCAATTAGTTTAAGAAATATGTGATGCATTACGAACTTGTTTCCCTAAGCTCGTTCACCCGTGTTCTGCTTTCTCTTTATTTGGAGTGGTACTTTGGGGTTGTTTTTAATTTCAAATGCTTTTTTAATCCAACTCTTTAATAGGGGCAGGGCCCTTGTGACGAAGAAGGGCACTTAATTGTATTGAATGTACTCTTTTAGTGTACTTCAAATCTTTTAAATGTGTATTTTCAAAAAACTGTACTTGTGGATAATATAATTATTTTGATGTGTTGACTAACATACTTTAATATTATAGTAACTTCTAGTTTTTGTTTTTACGTACTATGGAAGTCAACGAGGCCCATCTACTGTCTGGTTACCCATATTCTTCAAAATATATTCTGTTGTGTTCAGCGGAAGAAAGAAATTCATACAGGTTTGGAAGCAAATAGTTATGGCTTCAGTTCTACCTTTCGGATTCAAATGAGACCAATCTATATTCTTATAAAGTCGTCAAATAAATTAGAGACTAACTTGCAATCGAAGCAGTTAGTCGAAGCAACTATAGGCCACATTTTCTAGTTGACAGAGAAATGTCAAAAACAGTCCGGGAAAGTATCGAGTACCTTATTAAGGTAGGCCTATATAAGATATAAAATATAGGATATTATTTAATATTAAATTCTAGTAGCTAAGTTGGGTATGAACGAGGCCCATCTACTGTCTGGTTACCCATATTCTTCAAAATATCTTCTTTTGTGTTCAGCGGAAGAAAGAAATTCATACGGGTTTGGAAGTTGAGGGTGAGTAAATGATGACAGAATTTTCATTTCTGGGTGAACTATCCCTAGGCGTATTCGTTTAACCCTGGTTTCACAGACAAGGATTAAGCAGTCCCAGACTAAAATGCACGCTGGAGCTGTTTTAACCGACAGCAACTTGCACTGACATTTCTTAAAATATATCAGTGCCATTGCTTTGTCTCAACACAGCCGGTAATGTTTTTTACATTACCACACATTTATAAAAGCTACTTAATTGGCCTAATTGAACTAAGGCTTAATCCTGGCTTAATCTAAACCCTGTCTGTGACACCAGGCTTTAAAGTATATTAGTTCTGAACTAAAACTTTTCACAAGAGGGGTGATAATACTTCAGGCCTTTAGTCAGGTTGTTTCCCTTTTAACTTGCTTAATTGCTGGCTTAATCACAAGTACATTTCCTTCTTCCGTCTCAGAATCCGATAACCGATCATTCCCGGAGGAAATTTTCAGATTTGCCTTTCAACAGTGTCGCCCATTCCATCCGAATAATGTTTTGTCCCTCAAAGGCCCAGAGCTCAGACGAACCACCTCCACTTATTATCCCGAGGAGCGTGAGGAGACTACAGAACTACAGGTCTTTCCTTTAACCACACACATGCAAATTATGAGATATGTCAGTTCCAATTTCCTTCTCATTGTTTTTTGTTTTCTCTCCCAGAAACATACTGTAGGCTAGCCTATGTGCAGCAAACTGCCATGGCATACCGCAAGCTTATTTACTTCAGCAGGCAAACAGCCAATAGAGATGTCAAATGTAACTGTAAAGAGGGTTTAGTGTCGTTTTACATGAGGAGATTGATCCTCTGAGGAGGAAGCTAAATATTAAAATGTGTCCTCTGATATTGATATGTATGTTCTGTAAAACTATAGTGAACTACGGAAGTAGCAGTATAACTAAGATAAAGCCTGGTTTTATTTCAAAGAAACATTGGGGTTCCTCAAACACATGTGACTGCGTTTAAATAAAACATGTTATCTATTCGAATATGACAGTTAATTTTTACATTAGAAATTGATCCATAAAGAATTTAGAAAAATATTAAACAAAAACGATTATGGCGTAGCCTATAAGTCCGACTGAAACAAGATAGGCTATCAAAAGAAGAGAAGAGGCACCAGGGGCTATTTGCATAAACATAGGTTAAGACTGAAGCAAATAGTTGTGGCTTTATTAGTTCTAGCTTTCGGATTAAAATGAGACCAATCTATATACTTATGTCGTCAAATAAATAAGAGACTAACGTGCAATAGTCGAAGCAACAATAGGCCACATATTCTAGTTTAGCCTACATAAACGTCAAAAACAGTCCGGAAAAGTATCGAATACCTTATGACAATCAACATTAAGGTAGGCCTATATAAGATATAAAATATAGGATATTATTTAATATTAAATACTAGGCCTATTGGGTCTACTATTTAGCCTAAACTTGTTGGATATGAAAAGTAGAAATCTCATTAAAAAAAAAAAAAAAAAAAAAAAAAACGAAAATGGGAAATTCAAATGAAAGGATATAGCCTACACGTTAGAAAAAAAGTATGCTAACTAAAAATAATAATAATAAAAACTAAATATAGATATAAAATCGAAATAAATAATAAAATGAAGTAAAATGATCAAATATACTTGAAGCGAACTCACCACTTCAGTCGCAATCCAGTCAAAAGGTATTTTCTTTATTCACAAAGTTTCTCCAATGAAGAGATGTAGAAATGAGTCGCTTCACACCGGCTATTCCATCAGTGATGCGCATCAGTGCCTCAGTTAGTGAGACCGACACTGTCGCGCTGTCACTTGCTGTCCGAAAGGAAGTTAGCGGCCGCGCCTCAAATACTACTGAGATGCCTGCGTAGACAACAAGCTTAGGGTATCAGACGTGTCCTGAGTGAGCTCAAGCTGCTCAACTCATTCATACACACTGAGCTCACAAGACTCATAGCGAATTTATGACGGACAGAATGTCGCAAGCGCCGGTTTGAACTAGAATGCTGTCTAGGTAGGGAGCTAAGTGAATATTTAGACACATTCTGTAGTCAGAGGAAATCTGTCATGAATATTCCGCTTCAATATCCGCATGCCCTATTCACGCAATTGTCTTTAGTACAACACTGCGAAACAAGTGGTTTGTGTGTATGTGTGAAGGTTGCAAAAAAAGTTGTTCAAAAATTATTTTGTAATATATAAAAACGCCCTTAGGCTAAGCAGCACTGTTCACTCGGCCAAATAAATTAAGGCACAAATAATGATGTGTGTGTGCGTTTGAAAATATATATATGAAGAGTTCAGATGCAAAAGCCTCTAAATGCCATTTGAAATTTTCTTCTTTAATGATGATTTTTATCAAACTTGTTTTAAGTTCAGTAATTTCACTTAAATAACAATTAATAGGTAATTATCATTGCCATTTAAGTGAAATCACTGAACTTAAATATACAAGCTTGATAAAAATTATCATTCTAGAAGAACATTTCAAATGGCACTTAGAGGCTTTTGCATCTGAACTCTTCATATATATAATATGGGCAGATTTAGACCGTGTTTGCTTGTCAGATCTGTGTGAAGCTATTAGTACACACACCGAGATAGAGAGAAGTATTATTGGATTGGAAATAGAAACAGTTGGTCTGGCCTCGCAGTTACATAATGACATTGAAAAACAGTGAGCCTCTAATAATCCCCTATCAGATTGTGGGATTAAACACACTCTTCTTTTGAAAGAAACCAAGAAAGAGAGACATAAAAACAAGGGAATGGATAAATCTACCGATTCTGTAATAATACTAACATGCACTAAACTCAAAATACTTTATCTTATAGGTCCAAAAAATTTCAAATATGCTAATAATCCTAAAAGAAAGAGTAAATCTGGACACCTAAGTATTAACCAAGGCATGTCCATAGATCAAATTTACAATTAAAACATTCACATTCAAATTTGAAAACTTCACAGAAATTTCACAGGCTTTTAGCTTTGTAATTTTACTCCTTTCAGTATAGTAAACAAGCTAAATACTGTGGTAATTGGCATGTAAAATTGAAAATTATAAATTATTCCAATGATGGAAAGCAAGCATGTTCTTCACAGTGAAACGTGCTGCACTGTAGGTGTTTCCCACATCCTAAACCATTTACAGGATGATAGTTCGCATGATATGACCACAGCCATTGATTAAAAAAAAACGACGTCTATGGGAATCATGGTAAGCCATCAAAATACCTTTATTTGTGTGTCCATTTTTTAACAACAAATTGAAGCTTATCTAATATCTCCAAAATAGTTTCACCTCAGATAATAGCAAAAGGTATAGTAATGGTACAGAAAGTTTTTTTTTTTTTTAAAAAGTATACTTTGTTCTTCACAGTTTTACCTTCCTCCTTTTACACTCGGAAAGCTTTTACAGCTGCAAGTGGAAAATTCACTATTACAAAATATATGCTTGACATCTCAAAAAAAAAAAAAAACCAAAAGGGGAAGCCGAGGGTTTTTCTTTTTGTCACATCTACAAGAAGCAGGCCATGGTGCTCAGACAGACAAAAATAGATGAGATGTGACTCTCGTACGGAAGAGAGAATGAACACAAACTCAGGGTAGGCATGAGAAATGTATAAACACAAGAAAGCAAGCAATTATATGTACAGTCTTAATAACGCATGGTATAAATGAAGAAAGAAGAAGAGGAAACCAAAAAAAAAAAAAAATCTAGCTGATACATTTATTGACAGCCCCCCTGACAGCTGGCTTCCTGTTGTGGTACAGCTAAATATTACTGGATAATCTACCCTTTGAAGGAACATATTCTGTATTTGTGAGCTGAAGGTTTGAGGCTTATATACACAAACTATTTGCACACAATAATAATATTTCTAATTGAATTGCAGTGAGTATTATGTTGATAGATGTGCAGTTAAAGTCTAGAGTTGTTGTTTTTTTTCTGGGAAACTAAGGTGAACACCAGTGATTTGGACTGATTTGGGCTGGTGATGAAGGGTGAAATAAAATGGATAGAATCCATTGCCTGTAAAAAATAAAAATAAAATTAAATATTTGAAGCAAACTGAAAAAGAAAACACTAAGGGCAGACAATTTACATAAAACATGGAAAAATAATAAAAAGAGACCTTCATCCTTGATCTGGGGCTGCATGGTTTCCTTGAGGTCCTCTGCTCAGCCGTATTTTCTTCTCCTTTAGCGAGCGCAGGAAAAGAGCTAAGACGGAACAATGAGTCGAAAGTGAAATTTCGGAAGAAGCTTAATGTATTCATTGAATGAATGAAAGATGACCTCTCACCATCAGTGTCCAGCCCAGGTCTTTTTCTGCTTGTTTCAAGGTTGTTGTTTTCCTTCTCCTCTTGTTCTATTGGTCTGCTCCCAAGATCAGTGATCTTCAAAAAAGATCAGTGACCACAAAAAAAAGTCACCACTGATCTCAAGTAAAGCTGCATGCCATATAATGAGATATAACATAAATTCAGTGCTGAGTTTACCTGTCCTCCAGCTTTAAGCGGTTCCATGACCACAACTGGAGAGAAAAACAGATCCATTAAAGACAGTCGAATTAAACTTAAACTGACCAATGAGAGTGAAGCTTTACCTGGTTGGAGGGAAAGGGTTAGTGACGGGATTTTCTTGATCTCTGAGCTGAAAGAGGTTTCAGCGGCTTGAGATGTTTCACCCTCCTTTACCTCTTCCTGTTCTTTACATCTTTCCTGTGCTTCCTCCAGCTGTGTAAACATCACAGTCTGTTTTATTTTTATACTCATTAATACAAACATATATGCACATGGTATTTCAAATGCTTTGTTCCCAAAAGTAATTAATTTGTTCATTTTAGGCAAATTGTGGGCATGTAAAATTAAAACATCATGGCTACAAACCATGTTTGAACTAAAATGAGGGAACAAATGAATAAAATGTGGCCTCTAATTTTTAATTTGTGGTGACAGTCTAAGTTTTTTCCTATATTTCATGTGCGGGGCTCCCTGAACAAGCACAGCTTGCTAATAATGAGTAACTGACATTTTAGAAATGTAGTTTCTTTGTTCTGAATAGTTCTAAACCAAGCCAAAGCAGAAGTAAACTTTTCACATTAGCGAGCAGGGAACACTAGTCGTGCAAGACCTTAAACATGTCTCTTCCTCAATGCCTGATACAGTGAGTTACTGCCATCTTGTTCTGATCAGCTTTTCTTAATCAGTTAGCACTGTGCTAGGCTGTTAGGCTACGGTGTTAGCTTGCTTCCAGAAAGAAAACTGAAGACCCAAAGAAAGAGAAATGTTTCATGTGATATTGTGGTTTAGCTGAGCTTGTTAGCTTGCAAACAGAAGACAGAAAGAAAACATTCACAGTCTTTAGCTTTGGTAATATAATGTGATGTGCAATTTATGATTTTTTTTTTTTGTTCAAGTATGATTAAAGGAGTAGTTCACTTTTGAAAAAACTTTTGCTGATAATTTACTCACCCCCATGTCATCCAAGATGTCCGTCATTCTTTCTTCAGTCGAAAAAAAATTAAGGTTTTTGATGAAAACATTCCATATAATGGACTTCAATGGGAACCAAACGGTTCAAGGTCCAAAAGACACTTTCAGTACAAACTGCAAACTGTTCAAAGGGCTTTAAACAATTCCAGACAATGAATAAGGGTCTTATCAAGCGAAACGATCGCTCATTAAAATAAAGAATAACAAAGTTTAAGTTTTATAAGCTCAAATGGTCGCTTTGCTCTGTACTGCGATGCACGTTCGCGACTTTCCTGTTCAATCTTGTTCATCAAAATGAATGAATCTTTTTCCGAGTCAATTCGTTCATTTTGCTCGTTAAATGAACCAAATGACTCGGAAAAAGATTCGTTCATTTTGAACAATAGAATCCCGAACGTGCATCGCAGTACAGAGCAAGGCAAGCATTTGTGCTTATAAAACTTAAACTTTGTTTTTTATTTATTAAATGAGCGATCGTTTCGTTTGATAAGACCCTTATTCATCATCTGGAATCGTTTAAAGCCCTTGGAACAGTTTCCAGTTTGTACTGCAACTGTCTTTTGGACCTTGAACCTTTTGGATCCCACTGAAGTGTTTCGAATGAAGAAAGAATGACATGGACATCTTGGATGACATGGGGGCAAATGTTTTTTCAAAAGTGAACTACTCCTTTAATATTTTTTCATTATTTAAAAATCATGTTACCATGATAATCATTTTTAATCAGGTTCAGCCAATGGAATGGCTTTATTGATGAGGTTTGAAGTGTACCTGTGTATTATTATCTGATGTCTGCTGGTCACTTTGAGGGCTCGATGGACATTGAGATGACGATGAAAGTGTAGCAGGTGGTGAGGAAGTCAGGGACGAAGATGCGTCGCTCTGTGAGTGCGTTTTCTCTTTCTCTTGGCTTTTTGAGCGTCCTGACTCGGACAGGTCCAGCGGCGCTTCCTCTTCCTCCTCTCTTAAATTCTCGCCAAAAATCCTCTCTGACTGGGGAGGCGCTATAACGACTTCTGTCACTTTCTTCTCGCTACTCTCTACATGCTCTGAGAGGTTTCTGCGGGACAAGGGCCGCGGGCCGCCAGGCGTTGAGCCGTGCTTGCGAGAGTGGAGGGCGCTGCTTGGTGGGACCAGTTTAGGGAAACGTAGTATACTTGAGCTTAAAAATGGGCTCTGGCTTATCCCACTACTAAAACCAGAGCCGGCTGCTTCTACTGTTACCCAGTCAGTGGATTCAGAAAGCGGCCATGGGATAGACAGGCCACCAGTCTTGATCGGAAGCGGCCGGTAGGGGACGGGAGCGTGGATCTGTTGCCGGCAACTACGTTCCTCAGAGGCAGCAGAAGAAAAAATGGAATTGTTTTTCAGTAGTCTAAGAGGAGATGTGACATGAGGAGACAAAGGGGAATGCCGGTGCTCCACCAAGTCCACGCTGGCAGGTCTGTGGACACATGAGGAGAAGCATTAACATGGGTCACACTCTTTTGTCTGTTTTCAGTGTCAATGCGTCGGTCTCGTCTGCCTGTCTCACCTCCTTTCAGTGCCGTGTTCGTTCCCCCATCTCACGGGGCCTGAGGTGGGCAACAATGTCTTATTAGATTCCTGAGAGAAACACACATTTCAGCAACCAATGAGACACAAGGGAACAGAAAGAAATGAGAGTTTCGATGAAACAGTATTTAAAAAACACATTTTTTGCTTACAAATGAAAACGCCTTGCCCCAGCGTTGCATGAAACTGTGTTCAGATGGCTTTTCTGAATAGAAAAATGATATTACAGATGTTTTCATTAGTACATTTGGGAACGTGCAAAGAATGTTTGCCAGTACCAGGCAAACTTCCTACACTGTATACAGCCAAACCAAAATGTATTCAGACACCTTCAACATTTCACACATTATCACAGTTTATTCGCTATAGTTTAGAATATGATAATAAAATGTATGACAAGAACTCAGACTTATCAAATCACTTGATATTTCACTGGTTTTGGCCATCCTTCTGTTAGATTGTCTCACAAATGAATTACACTGTAAAAATGAATATGTTTATCTAATCAATAGAATTAGTAACTAACCCTAACTAACCCTAACCCTAACAGATTAAAAGCAATATTATTAATTAAATTTAACAAATTAGAATTGAGTAATAATTAATCAAATTATTCCTTAAAAGTTAATCATTTAAAATGAGTAAAGTTTACACCAAAAAAATGTGACAAAAATATCTCACTAACAGACAGACGTCAAAGATTAATTAAGAGCTCTTTATTTTATATTGCCAACATTAAAGACACCTGATGTTAACAAGTAGAATCACTGATGGAGAAAACTGTAATTTTAAAACAAGCCTAAAACAAACACCGATCACCATAATGGTGACTTAAATTTATGTTTTTTTGGTTGTTGTTGTAAGTTTTACTCATTTTAAATGGTTAGCTTTTAAGTAATTGATTTGATGAATTATTTCTCAATTCTAATTTGTTACATTTAATTAATAATATTGCTTGTAATCTGATGCCACAATTTTTTTGATTAGATAAAGTATGTTCATTTTTACAGTGCAGGTTGAATAGCTGTTAAATTTAAGTACACAATTAGATAATACCAATTTAGGTCAACAAATTACCAAGCAATGCTAAATTTTGTTCAGTCTGTGGTGTAAAAAGGTCACATTTGCAATTAAAAACATGGTCAGGTCAAAGTGTCCCAAAAAGATTTACTAAGAATAGTAATGTTTCCAAACTTTTGACCGGTACTGTTTAGTATATAGCACTGGTTTTCATACATTTCAGAAATCAATGTTTACTGTGACTTACCCTGACTGTCGGTCGGGCTGTTGACCATCTCTCGTTTGACAGTCGCTACAGGTACAGTGGCGTCCCCTGGTGGAGGTTTGCTGGACTTCAGCCCTGAGGTCAATAGAGTCACGGCAGCCGCTGCTGTGTCAGGTGACATCTTGATCTCTGGGGTGATTTTGTCCTCTGAATGACCATTCTGCTGACTGAAAGGTAAAGGAGGAAGTTTGCATTTTCATGCATGACTATTAAATCCAATACATGATCGCAAGCCAAAGTGACCATTCGGTGCAGACCGCAATATGTTGGCCAATGTCGCATAACTACAGTTACGGTAAATCAGATTGTGCCACTGTGTGACAGGACCTGACCTTTCCCATGATAATAAACAACAGAACAACAATTCTTGCACACAAATGTCAAAGAAACATGCCAAGAACTTACTCCGATAGATCCCTCATGCCCTTCAGCTCTTCTCTTAGTCTGTCATTTTCTTTCTTTAAAGCATTCATCTCACTCACTGCAGCAGTGAACAAACAGGAATATCTTTAATATTCATATATTTCTCTGTTAAGAACATCATATTTCACCAAATATCATTTGTGATATTTTTTTTTACTAATGGGTGCAGGATATTATAGTTCATTTATGTAAGTGAGGATAGCAAAATAAAGTAAACTATGACATATTATGCCCAAACATTATTCATAGAGTGGACTACCAGTAAAATTTGGGTCCAAAAATGATTCAGACACTTTGACATGACCATGTTTTGCTTAAGTGTTTTTTCTTTAATTGCAGATGCGACCATTTAATACGGAAGCCCTGAACCGCAACCTAAAAAAAAAAAAAAAAAGTCAGTAAAAAAAAAAAATCTGTAAAAAAAAAAAAATCTAGCATTTCGAGATTAAAGTCGAAATGTTTCGAGATTAAAGTCGAAATGTTTCGAGATTAAAGTCGGAATGTTTCGAGATTAAAGTCGAAATGTTTCGCAGTGCGCGTCCACTGGCTCAGAGCGCGCGCGCGCGTGTGTGTGAAGTCGAACTGCCATGGATAAACACAAAATAGTAGCTTTTTACTTTTATCTGGGCTTTCAACAAAATTCTACACACGTCACACGTGCTACTGAGGTGTTTTCGTGCTCGTCTAGTCAACACTATCTGGGTCGAGAACACAACAGTAACTGTTCGGTCTCCTCTTCCCCGTAAATACGCTCTGGATACATTTTAAGTGCATCATTCTGTATCCAATCATTTGGCCGGATCCTGTGATTTCCTAAGATTTAATAACCACTTATGGTTGAGGAGAGATTCTGTGATATGATTGTAAAGCACTTTGAGTGTAGGCATATATGAAAGCGCTATAAATGCCCTATTCATTCATTCATTCATTCATTCATTCATTCATTCATTCATTCATAAAGCTGGATTTCTCCATCCAGTCTGAAAAGTGTTTTCCGTGTTGGTTTTCCTATAGGCTAAAGTCTATTCCGGCGCAGTATATTTTATAACGTCCTATAATGGTAGCCTAATGCTGGTAGATTGGCACCTGTTGAATTTCCTTTGATGAAACAAAACACACACACACACATACACAGTGTGAAACTCGCTATCGCGTAGAAGCTGCGCGTGTGTGCTTTCCATTGTCTCACATTGCCGCACACACAGGCATTCATAATGGCCAATAGCGAGTTTCACACACTGTGTGTGTGTGTGTGTGTGTGTGTGTGTTTTGTTTCATCAAAGGAGACCGAAAAGCTACTATTTTGGGTTTATCCATGGCAGTTCAACTTCACACACACACACGCGCGCGCGCTCTGAGCCAGTGGACGCGCACTGTTATGAATGCACAATGTTTCGACTTTAATCTCGAAACATTTCGACTTTAATCTCGAAACATTTCGACTTTAATCTCGAAACATTCCGACTTTAATCTCGAAACATTCCGACTTTAATCTCGAAACATTCCGACTTTAATCTCGAAACATTTCGACTTTAATCTCGAAACATTTCGACTTTAATCTCGAAACATTTCGACTTTAATCTCGAAACATTCCGACTTTAATCTCGAAACATTCCGACTTTAATCTCGAAACATTTCGACTTTAATCTCGAAACATTTCGACTTTAATCTCGAAACATTTCGACTTTAATCTCGAAATGCTAGATTTTTTTTTTTTTTTTTACAGATTTTTTTTTTTTACAGATTTTTTATTTTTTTTAAGATTTTTTTTTTTTTTTACTGACTTTTTTTTTTTTTTAGGTTGCGGTTCAGGGCTTCCGTAATTTTACACCACAGACTAAATAAAATTAAGCATTGCTCTGTAATTGGTATTATCTAATTATGTACTTAAATTTAACAGCTGACAGCTATTCAATCTTTCTTGTCATATTTTATTACAATTTTCTAAACTGTAGCGAATAAACTGATAATGTGAGAATTGTTGAAGGTGTGTGAATAAATTTTGGTTTGACTGTATATACAGTTGGGCCCAAAAGTCTGACCTTTTGTGTAAAAGGAATTAACATGGTCAATGCAGTGTTATTTTAGTATTGCAACTCCTTTTTCATCTAATATTTATGTTTGATTTTCATTTCACAAAACATTTTAATAGTTTTAGTTAAAAATTACAACACTATTTCTTCTTCACATAAAGGCTCTATTTATAGCTCACCCAGTAAAGAGATGTGCTGTAGACTCTGGAGCTGAGAGTTTTCATACTCCTGTTGTCTTTTTTTAGCCACGTCCTGAGTGACTGTACACCTGTCACACAACCCGGCCCGCAACCTGAGGATCGACAAGACACGTCCAGTGTGTGCAGCGGTATGTGAGATTACATTTATGAATGAACCCTCACAAACCTGTTCTCCAGTTGTTTGATGTTCTCAGTGAGAATGCGCTGCTGTTCTCTCATCTGCTGGTTCCTGTTGTAAAGTTCTTCCATGCGCTTTGTATCACTACAACAGTACGCACATAAAACATTGATGTCAAATTGATGTCAATCGATTTTAGCTTGAAAAATATGGTACTCACACTCACATATTCTTTTTATTTGTCAGCTCCAGTACTTTCTCCTGCCACACTGTAGAGAGAGAGATAAGCATAAATAGTGAATGTGGACAACTGGAGTGTGAAGCTCTGGATGGCACAAAGGGAAGCAGTGTTCAAAAAAGTTTTAAAAGAAGTGCCAATTTCATACTAAGCAATGTCGCGTATTTATTAAAGAGTTTGCGAGCTCATAGCATGCATTGCAGAAAGAATAAATTATGTTGTTTATTGTTTCTGTTTTTTGCAAATATTGTTGTGTTTTCGTTTGCTGTTGTGTTGCTCTCTATAAAACTAATAGCGTTAGTTACTTTTTATGGAAACGTTACTTTTATGAGCCTTTTTCCCACCTGGGCTGGGCTTGCATGTTTGTTTTTTTAACAACAACAACAGAAAATCTATTTTTTGAAAATGTAAAGACCCTATCAGACCAAAAGTGTAGTGAAGCATCAGGCTGAAGGAAATGCAAAATCACGGCAGTACAGTAGATGGCGCAGCTTAAACAAACCTAAATAAACTGCTGCTATTCTGGATTAAAGAAGAACATGAGGTTGGAGAAGAAAGTTCAAAACTCTTACTTCAGAAAAATTACATTTAAATAATAATAACTAAACAAATGTGATGTAGTTAATTTTTGCTTATAAGTAGGCCTATGGTTGAAGTGGATCATCAAAGGTCAGCAGCAAAGACATTGGTTACTAAAGTGAGATTCACAAGTTCACACTTATATACAATTAGAGGGAGTAAAGTTGAATGTGTATTTGGCGTGCCTTCCAGGGGAGGGCTCCAAGCTCGGAATTTCGCCCGAACCCAGAGTATTACCCCCGTATGTAAATGGTTAGGACTAGAAGGGGTGGAGAAGGGATGCTGCAAAACTGTCAATGGATTGATGTGAGACTGCACAATCTATATAGGCTACACCACTTATTGTTGATTGCTGAGTGCTCTCCACCCGTGTTAATTATCTGAACATGCTCCTCTCAAACTTTGTTAATAAAACATCAATCAAATACATAAAATAGCTATATTTGTATAATTGAACATATTCAATTATTGCAGGTTCGCGTAACAATTTGCAGTCACATTTTTTATTAATCTTGAGGAACAATGGATCTGCTTTTTCGTTAGGCTTGTTTGAGATGATCAAAATCTGTGCAGAACCGATCACCGCAAGATGCATTCCGGTTAAAAATATGTCCGAGTGTAGTATTTTATGTGCCTTATAATCCAGTGCGCCCTATATATGAAAAATGTTCTAAAATAGGTCATTCATTGAAGGTGCGCCATTAAGTGCGGTAAATACAGCTATATTTTAGCCATGTTCTACTTTCTATCATATATCGAGCTATAATTTTTTGCTCCATATCGCCCAGCCCTAGTAGATATAAAAACTTTTCTGGTAAGGAAAAAAGTCAATATCAGGAAACAATGTGTAATCACCATCACATCCAGCCAGCTCCCTGAGACAGCTCCCATGAGTGGGTCTCGAACTTGTGTCTCTATGGTGTGAGAGGCGGACACGCTAACCTCCATTTTATTGGTTGTTGATTGTTTTACATCACTAGGACTACGCTAGGACTTACGATAATATCAAACATGTTTGATATGAAAGACTAGAGAAAGACTGGCGTAAATCAGGTCATCGACTGCAGATTATCACCTCACATTTAAAGATCTAGACGACGGGAGCGCACCGAGACTCCAGTGAGATTCCTACAGACTGCCGGTCTTTAGTCGGGGACTGTGAAAAACCTTTGGTGTAAGCCCAGCATCAGACTTCAGTGATAAAGACTTCAGACTTGACTCAGACTTCAGTGATAAAGACTTCAGACTTGACTCAGACTCCAGTGATAAAGACTTCAGACTTGACACAGACTTCAGTGATAAAGACTTCAGACTTGACTCAGACTCCAGTGATAAAGAGTCCAGACTTGACTCAGACTCCAGTGATAAAGACTTCAGACTTGACTCAGACTTCAGAGATAAAGATTCCAGATTTGACTCAGATTTCAGTGATAAAGACTCCAGACTTGACTCAGACTTCAGTGATAAAGACTTTAGACTTGACTCAGACTCCAGACTTGATTCAGACTCCAGCTTAAAGACTTCAGACTTGACTCGGACTCCAGTGATAAAGACTTCAGACTTGACTCGGACTCTAGATTAAAAACTCCAGACTTGACTCAGACTCCAGTGATAAAGACTTCAAACTTGACTCGGACTCCAGCTTAAATACTCAAGACTTGACTCAGACTCCAGTGATAAAGACTTCAGACTTGACTCAGACTCCAGCTTAAAGACTTCAGACTTGACTCGGACTCCAGCTTAAAGACTTCAGACTTGACCCGGACACCAGCTTAAAGACTCCAGACTTGACTCGGACTCCAGCTTAAAGACTTCAGACTTGACCCGGACTCCAGCTTAAAGACTCCAGACTTGACTCAGACTCCAGTGATAAAGACTCCAGACTTGATTCAGACTCCAGCTTAAAGACTTCAGACTTGACTCGGATTCCAGTGATAAAGACTTCAGACTTGACTCGGACTCTAGATTAAAAACTCCAGACTTGACTCAGACTCCAGTGATAAAGACTTCAAACTTGACTCGGACTCCAGCTTAAATACTCAAGACTTGACTCAGACTCCAGTGATAAAGACTTCAGACTTGACTCGGACTCCAGCTTAAAGACTTCAGACTTGACCCGGACACCAGCTTAAAGACTCCAGACTTGACTCGGACTCCAGCTTAAAGACTTCAGACTTGACCCGGACTCCAGCTTAAAGACTCCAGACTTGACTCAGACTCCAGTGATAAAGACTTCAGACTTGACTCAGACTCCAGCTTAAAGACTTCAGACTTAACTCAGACTCCAGATTAAAGACTCCAGACTTGACTCAGACTCCAGTGATAAAGACTCCAGACTTGACTCAGACTCCAGTGATAAAGACTTCAGACTTGACTCAGACTCCAGCTTAAAGACTTCAGACTTAACTCAGACTCCAGATTAAAGACTCCAGACTTAACTCAGACTCCAGATTAAAGACTCCAGACTTAACTCAGACTCCAGATTAAAGACTCCAGACTTGACTCAGACTCCAGTGATAAAAACTTCAGACTTGACCGGGACTCCAGCTTAAAGACTTCAGACTTGACCCGGACTTCAGCTTAAAGACTCCAGACTTGACTCAGACTCCAGTGATGAAGACTTCAGACATGACTCGGACTTCAGCTTAAAGACTCCAGACTTGACTCAGACTCCAGTGATGAAGACTTCAGACTTGACTCGGACTCCAGATTAAAGACTCCAGACTTGACTCAGACTCCAGTGATAAAGACTTCAGACAACTCGGACTCCAGATGAAAGACTTGTGAACATCTCTGGAAGCAACACTCTCATAGAAGTTACTGTTGAACTAAGAAGCTTTCTATGGGTCTATAATTTGAACACAAGCATAATCTGCATTGAACACTTTTTCACCCTCACAAGAAACTACCAATTGCGTAAAAAAAATTGCTTTTGCAAAAACTGTATTTGGCAGAGAACTGTAAAAGACACCTTATCTTTTTAGTAGTTGATGTAATTATATTTTTACTGTTGATTGTTGCTGTTAATGAAGTTTGGGAAATGTGCATCTACATTAAACCGAGTTTTTGACATATTTTGTGTCAGTAATACAGATACAGTCATACATGCTTTGGTGTAATCTCAGTCAAGATTGTTCAAGACAAAAAAAAGGAGGGTGGTCTTACCCTCTAACTCATGGTCATGGACCTCCCGCAGTTTCTGCAGGAGCTCAGAGAAGCTCTCCACAGCCATGCTGGTGTTCCAACACACCAGCCACTCGTCTTCCTACGGATAGGGAGGATTTTTTTTTTTTGAAAACTGTAAAAAAGATGCAGATTTGTTCAATTAAATCTTGATGAGAGAAAAATTTGTGCCAGTTCACGTTTTGCTGTTGCACTAGGTGAACTTTGGAATTTCTTCACTCATACTATACCAAGGCTATTAAAGGCTGGTCTTGCTAAACCGGTTTTGCAAGGTGAGAACTGAGCGGCCTAACTTTATTTGTGTATGCATTTATGAGTGTGTGTAAATGAGAGAGTGAGAGAGTAAGAAACAAGGAGAGATGGCTTTTTCACAACATGTGTGTGTGCTAACATTTAAAAAAACAAACAGGATCTGGAAGGTTATTTATGACCCATGTAATGCGCCGAAGGGTTCAATTCGACACATACTAACTACACTAACATCTACATATGACATTCACCTTATTTTTCTTGACCTGTGCTATCTACAAACATCCACTAGTTCTTCTTATAAATGACTGCTTCAAAAACCCTTACCGGAGCACTGAAACTAAACGATTCCTGACGATTGTCATGATTGACGTAAAAGCTTAGTCACATAGAATGATTGCAATGCGCTGAAATGAGAATACATCATTGATATATACACTATTGTTCAAAAGATTGGGGTCAGTACATGACCCATCAAAGTGACATTTATAATGCTGCAAAAGATTTCAAATTAAAATAAATGCTGTTTTACGAAACTTTATTTATTTATCAAAGACTCCAGAAAAAAAAAAGTATGGTTTCAAATCAGCATATTAGAATGATTTCTGAAGGATCCTGTGACAGTGAAGACTGGAGTAATGATGCTGAAAATTCAGCTTTGCATCACAGGAATAAATTACATTTTTAAATATGTTCAAACATATTTGAACAAAAAATCAAAAAATCAGTTCTTTTAAATTGTAATAATATTTACATTTATTCATTTAGCTGACGCTTTTATCCAAAGTGACTTACAATTGCTATATATGTCAGAGGTCGCACGCCTCTGGAGCAACTAGGGGTTAAGTGTCTTGCTCAGGGACACATTGGTGTCTCACAGTGGATTCGAACCCGGGTCTCTCACACCAAATGCACGTGTCTTATCCACTGCGCCATCACCACCCCAAATATTTTGAATATTTCAAAATATTGATGTTTTTACTGTATTTTTAATCAAATAAATGCAGCCTTGATGAGCATAAGAGACTATCAGAAACATTCAAAAACCCTACCAACCCCAAACTTTTGAATGGCACTATTTATAAATTCTGTGACAATTAAAACAGACACTCAGTTTAGGCTAGGCACTGTAAATTGTGCCAGATACAAATGTTTTCCTGCACAGTCAATTTTAAGTATCAACTTGCAAGTAATTTCAACTTAAATGACATTTAAACTGACTTCTTGTATAACTTATTTTGATGAGTTAAAGCAATGTAAAAGCATACGTTGTCATAACTTATCGATCATATAATTTTTTACAGTGATATTTTTACTTGTGTTAAAGCTGATGGCAAATGAACACATTTTCAGGGTGCAGAGTGTTTAATTTCGAATACAAAGTGGGAAATGTGCTGCAAAGCTTCATATAAGCAAGACTTCTCCCTGCAGAGATACACAGCCTGCTGCTGAGGGCTCTTGAGAGGGTGTGGTTACACTCCCCCCCTCCACCCTTCCCCCATACAATCGTTTTTGCATTTTGATCTGAGTGATTTTCGGCTGCTCCTTCACTCTCTCTACATGTCAGGATATGTTAGCTAACAGTTGTGAACGTTACAGCAGCGGGAGCAAGAGGGAACCTGTCTCTCAGATCTGCAAACTTCACATTTCACACACAACTACACACACACACACACACACACACTAATGTTTTAAACCGACTGCTTTGAGCTGACTTTGCAAATATGATTACAGATTTTGCAAACACAAACAGGTGATAAAGATTATATCTGAGCTCTCAGATCTAATCAGACATTTTGGGGTCAGAGGTCATACATGCCGTCACTAAAAAGTGGAATACTACATAATACATGCAATTGATCTAAAACATACAAAATCAGTCAGTTAGTCAGTGAGATGTAAAGGTGGATTCTGAGCAGGCCTGGGGCATAATTACAATTTTATCAATGTTAATGAGAGTATGCTTCTGAAATGGATTTGTGGATCAGGTTTGGCATTACAAAATCCCTTCCTATGATTTAACTTGTTTTTTTGTCATTTGATGGATGTTTGTGTTGTACATGTTTTACATGCTGAAGTCAAGAGGAATATCAGTTTAATATCACTTGGTATATTACCATGGGCATGACCATTAAAATAGGAGAGAGAGAGAGAGAGAGAGAGAGAGAGAGAGAGAGAGAGAGAGAGAGAGAGAGAGAGAGAGAGAGAGAGAGAGAGAGAGAGCAAGCAAGTGTAAGGGAGGAAGTTGCAAGCAAATATTTAACTTGAAAATGTGAACATGTACTGAAACTTATGATACAAAGTTAACCGACACATTCTTATTAGCATCCAATAATTACTTTTTAATAGATTGGTTGAATAAAAGAGTATTGTTTATCATAAAATACCTGTGTTTATTAATATGCTCAATATTCTAGGTAATTTAAAAACATAAAAACGCATGAAACAATAATGTCAATAAGAAAAATAGATAGACGCAATGGAATTAAATGCAATACTACAAGCAGATGAATTCATATCACTGATCAAATAAAGAAGAAATATTAAGTCACTCCACCCAAATGAAATAGCTTGAATGGGTGATTGTGTTTAATCTGGAAATGTATGAGTGAGAATTTGAGTTGCATTATTGATAATTGATCGCATTATGCAATCGCTCAATACATATCTACCAAAAACACATGACACCTGATCAATACAGAGTGTTCAGGTGAAATGAGTTTCACTCACCCCGTGCCACCTTGTGGACGTGAATCACGTCACCTGCCAATCACGCGATGCTGTTGGTCTCCTCGTCACACCAGTGTCATCCGGAGCCCCTTGGAGAGTTAAATCGGATGGAAAACTATTGGGAATGAGAAAGACATACAGAGGAAAGGTAAAGAAGAGTTTTTAATACGCCCTACGCTCCTCTCCTCCCGCTCCTCCTCCCCACTGACGAGGAGAACAGGTTTGAGCAGTTCCTCTCGGCAGCACACAAACACCAGTTCTCCCCTGGATAAACCGGTCCTGCTGAAATCCCACTAAACCTGCCTGACCACAAAGGGGAAAAAAAAAAAATCCTCAGAAGGATATAGAGAACCTTTAGACACACAAAGCCGCTTTATTCTGCTTTGATTTGCTCTTTCAATCTCAAGGAACCAGAGGCCTTTATTCAGCTTCATTGCAGGGGCATGGGACAATTGTATGCGTTTATTTACTATGTACGTTCCCTGGTGTCTTTTTAAATCCTCACATTTTATGATAATAATTATCAAACTGAATGACCTTTATCAAGACGTCATACGTTGCTTTGCAAAACCTTGAAGCAGCATTTGAGGTTCCTCCGATTGCCCACACAGGGCAACCTCCATACGCTCTTTTTAAGGTGAATAATCTCACTTTTGGCAACTGTATAAAAATGAATGCTGGTTTTATTATACAGTAGTAGCTAGTGTAAAAACAATGATATTTGGAGTAAAAGCAAAGTAACCACACATTTAACCATGGTTTTACCAGTTAATTTACACTCACTGGCCATTTTATTAGGTGAACCCGTTGAACTGCTAGTTAACACACATCTAATCAGCCAATCACATGGAAGCATTTCAATAGATTTAGATCAGGATTTTAGGTCAGGATGATCTGCTGAAGTTGAAACTAAGCAGAGGTGAATTAAGTGACTTTTAAAACTAAGAAAGGTGATTTAAGTGACTTTGAACGTTGGTGTCAGATAGGCTGGTTATTTCAAAACCTGCTGAGCTTTTCACACACAACCATCACAAGGGTTTGAAAGAGAAGGGTCAGAGAAAAAGAAAATATCCAATGAGTGACAGGTTTGTGGGAAACCAGAGGTCAAAGGAGAATGGGGAGACTGGTTCCGACTGATAGAAAGGCAACAGTAACTCAAATAACCGCTAGTAACAACCGAGGTCTGCAGAAGAGCATCTCTGAACACACAACACGCCAAACCTTGAAGCAGATGGACATCAGTAGAAGATGCCACTTCGGTAAGCTAAGAACAGGAAACTAAGGCTACACTCTAAAAAATGCTGGGTTGTTTTAACCCAACTTTGGGTCAAATATGGACTAACCCAGCCATTGGGTTAAATTTTTACATTACATTTTTAACCCAACATTTCGGGTTTGTCCATATTTGACCCAAAATTGGGTTAAAACAACCCAGCATTTTTTAGAGTGTACACAATGACTCACCAAAATAGGACAATAGAAGACTGGAAAAACGTTGCCTGGTCTGAGTCTCGATTTAGATAGTAGACAGACATTCAGACTGAATTTGGCCTGAACAACATGAAAAAATGAATCCATCCTTCCTTGCATCAATGGTTCAGGCTTCTGGTGGTGTAATGGTGTGAGGATATTTTCTTGGCACACTTTGGGCCTCTTAGTACCAATTGAGGATTGTTTAAATGCCACAGCCAGAGTATTTTGGCTGTCTATGTCCATCCCTTTAATACCACAGTGTACACATCTTATGATGGCTGCTTCCAGCCAGCCTCTCATACTGGTTTCTTACCTAAATGGCCTCTACAATCTCCAGATCTCAATACAATTGTGAGTGCATGTTTGTAACAAGGTATGATGGTTCAGGAAAGAAGGTTGCGGGAACCGGTGAACATTTAAAGACGAATTATAAAACAAACAAACACAAAATGAAAGTAAGAGGCAGCCCCTCGTGGACTACTGCCGCACACACAAACAAAACATAACATAAAATCTAGGCCAGGTTCTCTCTCGTCCTTCACTTTATGCCTCCGTAGCTCCTCTGTGAGATACAAGGCCGGTGCGGCACGCAGGTAACGCTCATTATCAACCGCCACTGGCCTCACACCCTTCTCTCACGGGCTTCGGCCCTGCCCTGCTTGCCACAATGTTATTTGGAATAAAACCATATTAACTACATTTCCATAATGGTTTTACTGAAGTAACCTTAGATCAATTATGGTATTTGTTCTAAAACCATAGTAATAATATTGAAAACCGCAAGGTTAGACTGAAAGCATGGTTAATCGTGGAATGTATACCATGTGCCAAAAACCTGTTTTACAACAGTATGCAAAGCCATTGTTATGTTTTGTAAAGGTATACTCAGGGAAACAATACATATTTTAAGAAGGCATGAAACTAAATTTCAGCTTCTATATTTGTAACTGCATGTTACTGATCTTAGACATTTTCATTTAAGTACCTAGACCTTCTCTCTGGTGAAGCATGTTAGACTTCTCCAATCATTAGTCCAATCATTAGTCCTTTCTCACAATTGACTAAGCTCACATTTTGATCAACCTCCATCCAACCAACAATCCATTGATAGAACCCTGTCCTTTACAGGTTATCGGATTCCTATAGCAGTTCCATCTACCCCTGTTTAAACCCCTTAGTTTACACAGATTTCCCAACCAAGATTTGTCGCTGCGCAACTTCAAGATAGAGCCACTTTATGTCTCCTGGCCGATGCATTTAAAATTAGGGCTCATAACTCTCAATCCTCCACAACAAAGAGTCTGGAGTGTTGAGGCTGATATAAACTTGGGTCTATGGGAGAATTAACGGACCAGGTCACCTTTATGCTTATTAAATATGATGAACCAGGAGGGTTCTGGCCCAGCATGAGCTATTCATTAATGCAGCAAGATCCTGGTAATGTCTGTCGGTCCATTGATTTCTGATTCCTCAGTAGACCAAGTCAGAGCGCTGTGGGTCTCCTCCTGACTGAGGACACAAAGAGGACAGCAATAGACTCATGTGCTGCTCATAGCACACTTTTTCACAATATAGTCCCTTCCCTGTTTACTGAAGTCAGCCGGATCCCAGCCGTATCCAGAACAGATGGTGGACCTGTGCCTGGACCCATCCACAACGCATCCCTGAAGTTCCAGCCTCATCAGCCATGTGAAGGCCTTATGGACACGACAGACATCGGCACTGATCCTCAACAAACTCGTCTCCATACTGGCGTGATGACTCCGACCTCCAACGATATGGAACTGGATAAATATTCGGAATGTTCTGATCCAATCTGACTTCTTTTGACCTGTAATGCTGCCTGGATCATAATCATACACTCTTCGTTCGTTGGCCAGAGAACTGAGCCTGGCTTCTCCCAAGGTTTTTCTCTCCATTCTGTCAACTGATGGAGTTTTGGTTCCTTGCCACTGTTGCCTTGGCTTTTGGCTTGCTTAGTTGGGGATGGGGACATTTAATATTATTTAATATTATTGATCTGCCTTACTTAAGGTGGACGATGACGCAGTTTTATTTTATTTAAGGCACCTTTCAAATCACTCGAGGTCACCATCATGTAGCAGCATTTGTTGGATTGGACATGGATTTGACATCTATTTTATATCATTTGGAGAATATAACAAACCATAACAACATAACTTAGGCAAATGACTTTGATCGCATATATTAATGATTTATAGAGGGCCATATAGAGAGCAATAGGCTATACCTTCAAAGCAAATGGTGACCTATCTATGTAGAGCAATAAAATATGCCACAGAACATAACTAGAGCTCAGAGATGTGATCCGCTTTATGTCCACTGTGGGGTGTAATAGCGCATGTTTTAAAAGTCTATTGGCCTACGGGATTTACCCGGGAACCATTCATCATTCTTCACATATGATATAAGATAAGGGATTGCCTTTAAATATCACAGATGCAGTTGAATTATGAATGGCTTTCAATACTAATAATAAAAGAGTGTACAATTACAGCAAATTACTGGGTGTGTAAATACTTGTCATGACTTGACGTTGAGTTGTGCGTTCAAAAATGCAACGGCTTTTAAATAAATAAATGAATACCCTTTCCTGCTAATTTCCTTTGCTACAAATAATAGTTCATCACTGATAATAGAGTGATGCCCCTTAACGAAACAATTCAAATTTCTCAATTTCTTTTAAATGACTGATTAATGTCCGTCATGTACAAATTCAAATGACTACAAATTTAGTTTTTACGTTTTATATTTGATTAATGACATGACAATCACTCAGCAGTAAAATAGGGTCTCCTGGGGCCCCTCGTAGTGTAGGAACACACACACAGACTCACACACAGAGGCCTGGGATTCCATAGGATCACTCCACCATCAATGTCTCGAGCCAGATAAGACTTCAAAGAATGAGACAGATTTACAAGACATGGTGAATCTCCCTTTAAAAAATACTGCTGCATAAATGTTTATGTAACTCAAAAGACATCCAACACTGCAGAAACAAGCTCAGTCATCATAAAATGCCAACTCGCATGAAAGAACAATGGGCTACCTGTGTTTTGTGAACAAAGCAAAAATGGGATCCAAGCTTCTCAGTCCACCAGTGAAAACGCTTACATTTTGCATCATACAAATGTAATAAAAAATTCGTATTGACTATTATTTGAGTGAAGTAAATATTAATATTAGTACAAAAAACATACCATATACACTATTAATGACGTAAAATTAGATTCATCTTCATTTTGTTTTCAAAAAACTCAAGCTACATGAACTTCATAAGATTGTACAGAGTACAAAAGATCTGTAGAGTCACACGATCAATATCACTAGTGTGTAATCTGAAACATTTACTGCTCCTTTTACATCACAATGTTTCTTTGGTTTCAAATTCTAAAGATTATTTTCTTTATTTGATTCTGAATCACAGATTTTCCATGTGGTCTCAGACTTTTATTCACAGAAGTTTTTTTGTTTTTTTTAAATGAAAAAAAAAAAATGATTTTTGACAAACCAGTCCAAATTCTTTCTTTAAATCACAGTGCAAGTGATAAAAAAAAAACCTGAATCAGCAATTCTTGCAAGAGGAGTCACTGGTTGTGGCTGTACCTTGGCAGTTTTAACGCAATTCTGTAGTCAGCCACTAGAGGGCGCTGTGTAATTGACCTCTATAGTAATTCACCTGTACAGAAATCACACATCCTGGTCGACCAAAACAAATGGCCAATCTAAACTCAAAATGAATGCGTCTTAACATTTTTATCACGTACTGTGGAGATGCTGGATATAAACAAACACACTCACACACAAAAATGATTTCCCATTGGAAGCTGGGAAGTTGTTTCTGCTCTTAAAACTACTTTTGATAATCTCAACAGTTTGTCTTTAAACCTGCCAGTACAGGAGGGATGGAAACCAGGACCATTGCCGTTTAACAGCATATGGCATATCCAGATCGCTCTGTTCCGCTACGGAGCAAAGGAATGGATGTGTCTTGATCATTTGTCTGTAGTGTTGCCAGAAAACAACATGATGGAGCAGTCAGTCAGTCCAAGACCCGATACCGTCCAAGCCCACCCAGAGACTCCACTTACAGTGACATCAAACAAGAACGAGAGAGGAAGGGGAGAGCGAAAGAAAGATACAGGACCGGGGTCGGGAACAGGGGAGCTTTGGTTTCCAATCCCCAAAGAATACTGTAATCTTAACACAGAGATTCACAAGTCACAATTTCTTCGTTTCTAATGATGGAAAATTACCGTAGCATAAATAGATATATTTCACGTTATGTGTAAATGTAAGCCCATATCCTAAATCATTACAACTTTTGTTTGGACATGCCATAGATTTAAAATCTTTTAATCTGTCACATGCTTGAGCAAAATTCAGTGCGTTTTCCAGGTCACAGGTGACCTCAGCTATCCAGACGGTGTGTGTTTGCCCTTCAGAGGCTGTGCTCGAGGATCATGTGCTGTGTGGAAGCCATAATGACAGAAAATAGTGTGAACCAAAAATATCTAGCGCAAAACATGTGCTAAGATCTTAGAAAATGTAAGCTTTGTATTTCTTTTGGTTTCATATGGTTTGATACCACTTTCGAGAAAAGTTTCAATTTAATAATCTAAAAACGTCATTTGGTTTTGAAGTAATAACACATATCGGATATCCTCAGATGTTGAATACATGCGAGTGTACACATCTTAATAATTATTTTCAAAAATGTTTTTAGATATATTGCTGAAGATAAAAAGTATTATTTAGAAATATCATGAATTATTAATTTAAAAATATCACTAAATATCTGCAGAGATGTACCACATGACATCTTACATCCTGAATACATGTGAGTGTACACATCTTAATAATAATTTCAAAAAATGTTTTAAAATTTATTTTAATATATTTTATATTTTTTTTCTCGTTTTGATATCAAGATAGTTTCACCCTGGCATTGTTTTACTTTATCTTGATTAAATATTAAAATGAATTTTAATTACTTAAAATAATAATAAACATATGTTAATCATAGACTGCATTTTTAATGTATTTTTGAATAAATTAACAAGTTGGCATGTCAAAAAAAAAATCGTATCATTGACCCATACACGTTTGCCCAACTTGCCAAGCATTGGTACCCAAACCCACTGAACATAATAAAGTGACTACATTTTAACAGTGACACCCTGTAGGCAAACACTGAAGCGGCCTAAATGACTACAGCCTGTAGAGAGAGAGAGAGAGAGAGAGAGAGAGAGAGAGAGAATGCTGAAGTGTGGCAGGTGGCAATAACTTACGCTATGCAAGATGTGCACATCCATACACTCAATCCGGTTTAGATGTGGGGGGGAAGCTGGTGGGTCTCTTTTCACGGAACTGACACAGGATGTTCTGTGGCATAGAGAGGAAGTTGATTAAAACAGAACACAAAAACACCCCCTCCTGATTCCTGTGTCCCAGGACGTGTGTCTACCCACACGACAGGTCACTACGTCCATCTCCGCCCCATAGACCACTGGACACGTCATCTCTCAGTGTGCGTGCGACTTTGTATGCTTGCGCAAAAGGAATAATTCACCCAAATGTTTTTCAATTTTCCTTCCATGGAACAAAAAAGGAGATTTTATGCCCAAGTTTTAAGGTCAAAGATAAAAGAACTGTAGAAAAATAATTTTCAAATATAATAGCACAACAGGTAATGTGAAAAATGCCCAGGACATTAACGAATGGCCCTAATCCATAAATAACTGACTGTCCACATCCATCTTCATCTGGACTAATAGGGATGACGAGAGATGGTCTGATGAGCACAGAAAGGTAGACTGAGAAAGAGGGAGGTTTACAGATTTACATCCATCACAGTGTATTTTCAGCACTCCTGTAGGAGCGCTAGATGGAGTGGTGAGGGGAGGCTGAGCAGAGGGCAGCTTGTGACCTTTGACCCCAGAACATCTTCAATATAAACTTTATTAGCTTGCTGCAACATGTGTGCGTGTGTGTTTGATTCTGTTGAGGCTTGTCTTGGTTCCTCCTGCAATTGAACTCTTGAAACAAACTGATTCACTCACTGGCAAAAAAAACCCTCACACTTGAGGATTTATACAGATGTCCATGAATATGATTCATCACGAGCACAAAAATGCATAAAGACTAATGAAGGGAAATCAACAAACATAACACATACCCATCAGTGAAAGCTCATAAGATTTGATTAGTGCTCAAGAATGCGGCGTCCCATATCTCACCCGGCTCACCCTCATCTGGCCCCATTGGTTGTCAGCATGGCCATTCATCCTCAGCCCAGCCAATGGGATGCGGTGCCAGTGCAGCCCTCAGCCAATCGCAGTTCAGGAAGCCTTGACAGTGAGGGAGATGCTCATATGTGTTTATGGCCTCCTGCCTCTATGACACAACGCAGAACCCTTTAGAGAAAAATAAAGCAATTAGCCAATTACACCACACAGGCCTATTAAAAACCAAACATCCCAGTGTTTTCTTACCCTTTGTACACAGCGATAAGACAGAGCGAACGTATCATGTCCCATGGAGAGAGGGAAAAGTGATGGTTATGAAAAGAGCGGTAGGGAAGATTAGACGTATTTGCAGGGAGTCTCTCTTTATTTGAGAGAAGACAAATGAACTGAACTCTCAGTAACTCTTCGACTCCTGAGAAAGAGATGTGAAAAATTAAGTGGAAAAGACAGTGCTGTATCTGGATTATTAATCTAAAACCAATAAAAAGCACTGTTTATCTAAGGACAGACTGATCCATCACATTACCTCATCGAATTCCCTCGAAATACTGTTCAATAGAGCTTAAAATAAAACAAAACGCTGTCCAAAACATCTTCTGAAAAAAGAACCCTTCATCAGTGAGGACACTGGGATGTCCCAATCACAAATATATCAAATACACACTTGTAAATGGAGCAAGTTTAAGGTCATTTTTTGGTAGTTTGTGTATTTTTCAGACTGTAGAGATGGAGACAGACTGTCCCATTTATGTTCTCAGTGCCTCGTTGTCCTGACATACTGCTGTGATGGATTTATGCATAACTGTACTGGTTACATAATGCGGTTTTGCTAAATCAGAGTATGCATTGGTCTTTTCGTGATATCGAGATCTTTCTAAAAACCTTCTAGAAAAATATAGATAACATATTATATTGATATTAAACTGATCCAAATTGTAATAAAATGCTCTTAGTACATGTACATGTTTTATGACAGCCTCTGGAGGAAGCAGCTGCAATGCAGTTGTGATCTTATTTCCTGATTTTAGAAAGACAGAGACAAAAAAAGAACCTGCAGTAATAATTTTAGCAATTTCAACTTTAAGTGACTTCTCACAACAAATTATTAATAATAGCATTGTGCTGGTTCCTTTAAAAGAGAGAGAGAGACTATATTAGTCATGGGGATTCATTTGTGTCTAGAATTTACGTCATGTAAAATAATTTGAATGTGATTGCTTGATATAAATGACTATTGCTAGAATATGATTGCCCACATAAAAATGCATAAGATGGGCAGGAGATGCCAGGCTGTATATTGTATTAGAATATATATTTCAAAATAAAATGAAACAATATGAATGTCTTTGTCCTGTTACAAATAATTTCCCTCTTGTCACCTCCAGAGTACACACAGTCGTGTGGAAAAAAAAAACTACAAAGAAAAATGGATGAAAAGAAACATGTATAAGATATTTTTAATGATTTTCACATTTTTCAGAGAATGTTTCTTTAAGTATAGTATATGATCAAAATTTTTTTTTACTTAAAGTATTAACATTAATAAATATCTTCCAATACAGCAATTGAAAAAAATGTCAACTTGGAAGCCAGCAAATATGTTCCAAAACACAGCAACCTGTTTAAGGTGAATTATCCAGATTTCTGTGAATTATGTTTACCTCAAATAATTTTTTCAAAGATTTGCCCAGTATTTAACTGCTTTGTCGTGCTGTCCCTTTGCATAAATGTCAGTTTCCTAATGCTCTTGAGGCGTTTATGCAGCACTCTCTTAGCACTTCCACGGGACACTCAAAAACCTCTCACAACCAGTAACCATTGCTATAAATCTCACACACAATGAGCTCTTAAAAGACCAGGGTGGTCTTCTCCCTGGTCTCTGTCTTCTACTGTGCTCCTCTGTGACCATCTCAAACTTTCTCTAGCTCTTACTGAAACATTCACCCTATCCATTACTCCATCTTTCAAACTCCCTACCCCAGCAGTCCTGAGTCTCCTTTTAAACTCTAAAGGTCTCTGTGACTCACTGTCATGGGTCCAGCTCCTGAGGAGGAGGGTTTCGGGTGAGTTTTGAATCGCCCTCTCCTCAAAAGCGACCATCTCAGAGAGTCTGATGTCCACTAAAGCCGTTTCAAAACTAATAAACAATTGTCAAGCGAGAGGTAAAGCAGAGAGCTGTATGGCCATTCTAAAAGCACATCAAAGGGTGCACACTAAGAGCCGTGTAGACGAGAGATGTGGATGACCTCTCCACCGCACACATGCACACATACACAAATCACATATGCACCTCACAAATATCACAAGCATACATAGCAGACACTGGGATGAAAGTATTTTTTTAAAATTACACACAGAACAATGACACATAAGTGGAGCTGGATCTGGAGCTGGAGTTACTGTGTGAGTCACTGGATGGAGGAAATGACATATTTGGTGCCTGATGACTCTGGTCATAGTTAAGGGGCAAAGATTCAGACTCAATGAATGGAATAAAGAAAAGAATACAGCCCTCTTCACATATCATTGGATAGGATAAGTCATGGTAGGACAGGACAGGACAGGACAGGACAGGACAGGATAGGATAGGATAGGATAGGATAGGACAGGACAGGATAGGATAGGATAGGACAGGATAGGATAGGACAGGATAGGATAGGATAGGACAGGACAGGACAGGACAGGACAGGACAGGATAGGATAGGATAGGATAGGATAGGACAGGACAAGACAGGTTAGGACAGGATAGGACAGGATAGGATAGGATAGGATAGGACAGGACAGGACAGGACAAGACAGGATAGGACAGGACAGGATAGGATAGGATAGGATAGGACAGGATAGGATAGGACAGGCCAGGACAGGATAGGATAGGACAGGACAGGATAGGACAGGATAAGACAGGATAGGATAAGACAGGACAGGATAGGACAAGACAGGACGTGATAGGACAGGATAGGACAGGACAGGACAGAATAGGATAGGATAGGACAGGGTAGGATAGGACAGAATAGGACAAGGCAGGATAGGGTAGGATAGGATAGGTTAGGATAGGATAAGTCAGGACAGGACAGGACAGGATAAGATACATCAGGATAGGGTATGGTATAATATGACAGTAAAGGATATATCAGGACAGGGCAAAATTGGGAAAGGATAGGATAGGCCAGGATAAGATAGGATATGATAGGCCAGGATATGAGAGCCCAAGGTAGGATATATGCAGTAGGCCAGGACATGATAGGTTAGGCCAGGATAGGATAGATCACGACCAGGTAGGATTGGGAAAAGATAGGTTAGGCCAGGATAGCATAGGATAGATCACGACTGGATATTGGGAAAAGATAGAATTGGCCAGGTTAGGATAGGCCAAGCTAGGAAGGGATAGGATAGGCCAGGAAATAATAGAATTGACCAGGATATGATAGGGTTGACACGGATAATATAGGATAGGCAAGGCTAGGACAGGCCAGAGAAGGAATGGATTTGGAAGAAAATGTATAGTTTCATGACTGACAGAACATACATCACTATCTTTGAATGTCCACTAGATAACGGCCATCTCATTTGAGACCCTCCCACTTTTTGCTGCCACAAACAACACACCCTGCTTACTCACTCTAGCCGGGTCTGGATGTTGGGCGGCAGAGGAGCCAGGTTGGCTGAGCCTTAGAAAGTGGGAGCCATCTCCTTAGTGTGTTTGTGTGTGTGTGTGTGTGTGTGTGTGTGTGCATGCATGAGAGAGAGAGAGAGAGAGAGAGAGAGAGAGAGAGAGAGAGAGAGAGAGAGAGAGAGAGAGAGAGAGAGAGAGTGTGTGTAGGGGGAGGAGATAAGTAAACTTCACAGCCCATGACATAAATCACATCAAGACATGACAGTAGGACACTGAGCAGGACCACTGATAAAACCAGCAGGAGGGAGGGGGAGAGACAGAGAGAGAATGGAGAGAAAGTAAGTGGGAAGAACAAGGGTCATCGTAATGGGCGAGGGGGTAGAGCCAATGGAAAGAGAGATATAAAGAAAGTCTGAATGTGTTTGTGTCAGTTTGTGTATGTGTGTGAGAAACAGAGAACCAAAAACAAAAAAAGAACGAGAGATGGACAGAGTGGGGGGAGTGAGAGAAGGATAGAAGGGCGTTTTTAGATTCCCAGTCCTCCCGAAGGTGTAGATTATCCAAAGAGCACAAGCTAATTTCCAGGTTCGTGAATACATTCCCCCATTTCAAACAGCTGTCTACCTAAATCTTCACTGGCTGAGAAAGGATGCACCCCCACTGTATGTGTTATGATTCACATTGATCCAAGAACACTTTTAAACTAAATTTACTGTTTCCCCCCCATTTTTGCAAGTGCTAGCTCTTCATAACTAAGATGGCAGGTGATACATCATTTGATATACTGATCTTTCATTGACATGCTAACAAGGCCATTAAAACAGCTGAACTAATGTTACTGCTATTTAGCAGCTCACACAAATCAAGGACTGTGTATCATTAACCGAGCCACTTTGGACGTCTCGGACAATTTGACACGATGTTCGTCGTACTTATTAGCTGTTGGCTGAATCAGACTTGACCGTACATGAATGAAGTCTCCGTAAACTATCTGACATCTCTGCTCCACAACCTAACCTCTGTGTTTATTCTACAGCCCAATTATGGAGAAAAACAAAACGTCTAACTGTGTACGGAGAGCGTTCGCTGCTTGTGTATGGCGAGAACACGTCAATGCCAGCACTTCATTGTGTAGCTGACGTCTGCGGTTGAATTTATGATCTCCTATTTGTGTAAAATGTAGGCCATAATTTTAATATGTGTGAAAGTAAGAAGTAAACGGAAAGTGGGAAGTTTATGAATTTTCAGGGCTCATTTGTCTGTATTGAAACTGGTTGAAGGAGACTGTGCTGGGTTGACCTTTACAAGAATCACTGTGGCTGTACAGTCCGCATGATGTTATCAGATGGCAACACCATGACACCTTGATACCAAGGTATTGAATGATTATAAAAATTATGCACCATCGCAACTTAAAGACAATTCAAAGATACACAGGGTATTAACATGGTGCATGTCAAAGAATCATGGTATTTACTTAGTCCATATACTGTAAAAAAAGAAATATGATCAATAAGTTATGACAAAATGTGTTTCTTACATTGCTTTAACTCATCAAAATAAGTTAAGCAATTTTCAACTTTTTCAAGTTTTACAAAATTAGACTTATTTTTTTAAGATAGTTTAATGTAGTTTAAGTTGAAATGACTTAAACATCCAAGTTGATTGAACTTAAAAAATTACGGCAGCAACTTTCTTTACATTGTATCCAAAAAGCACTAAAGTGATCCTTTTATGGTACTCTGCCTCAGAAAACATGATAATAGTAAGTGACATGGCTTTTTTGTATTTGTAGGCCC